CTCGTTATCGATACATATTGGATAGAGGGGACTCTTTGATCAAACCATAGATTTTGTAGGACAAATATTTTTTCGAATAATTTAGATAATTATCTTGAGATTTAACAAAAAAAAAACATTCAGTTAGTAATAAATATTTGAGAATTATTTTACTTGCTACGTTTGTTAGCTACCACAATCCAGAGTTTCGTACAGGAAATTATTGGGCGTCTCATCAAAATAAAGCTACTCACGGAAAATTAGCTTGATAGTAATCACGTGCAAAAATGGGCGATGGATCCTGGACTAGATTGTCTGACGTGCTCATAAATGTCATTCATTTTATTCCGCAAGTCATTTGCATAATCGGTTATACTGCTTGGGGCATCAGGTGGTATCCCGGTGATCAGGTCTGCAGGCAGCCGTAATTCTCTTCCAAAGTTTGCGAAAGCTGGTGTCACTGATGTACTTTCGTGAACAGCGCTTCGATATGACAACAAAAACGGTTGTATGTGCTTGTCCCAATCCCGTTGCCGATTGTCTAAAATTTTTGCTAGGTACATCTCCAATGTCTGATCAAATCGTTCTACCATTCCATTAGATTGCGGGTGATAAGAAGTCGTTCTTGTTATATGAGTACCCATAACTCGGCAAGTTTCCTGGAATATTTGAGACTCAAAATTCCTTCCTTGATCGCTGTGAATCTCTAAAGGTACTCCAAAACGACAGAAGACTTCATGAACTAGTTTATCTGCAACTGTTGAAGCTTCTTGATTTGGAATGGCGAAGGCTTCTGGCCACTTAGTGAAGTAATCCATCACAACCATGAAATACTTGTTACTGCTTTCACTCTCCGGAAACGGCCCCGCCACGTCAATGGCTATTCTCTCCCATGGTGCACCAACATTATACAACTTCAATGCACCTCTACTACGAGTCTGAGGTCCCTTTACAGCCGCACAACTTGTACATTTGCGACACCAGTCCTCGACATCGTTTCGACAGTGGACCCAGTAAAACCATTCCCGGATCTTCAGTAGAGTTCGTTTAACTCCCAGATGGCCTCCTGAACAATCATTATGGTACAGCTGTAGAATATCCGGTACTTTAGCTTTAGGGACAACCATTTGCAAATGACAGCTGTCTCCCCGAACATTTTCCCATTTACGGCACAGCAAGTTGTCCCATTGGGCCCAATAGCTTTTAGTGGTCGAACTCATCGCTGAGACGTCGCTCCACTTGGGCTTGGGAGCACTGGCCTTCATCCATTCCAGAATCGGCTTGATGTCAGGATCTTCCTGCTGTGCGTGTCGTAGGCTGTCCTTCCACTCGTTGCTGAGGTAGTCTGTCCTGAGCATCCTCACGGATACCACTTCATTACTCTCTTGTCTAGTACAATGTTTGCAATCTTCAGGACAAGGTCTTCTTGACAATCGCTGCGATGTCTGATAGTGAAGTCGTCTTCCTGCTGCTGCTGGGCGGTGATGTTAGCCGCATTTCCCTTCTGAGATCGTTCACCCTCCCATTTTAGGGTTCGCTTAGGGCAGCTGGGTCGAAGATGGCCCCTTTTCCCACAGCCATAGCATCTAGGGCTGTATCCTTTATTGTGGTCGCGAACCGTCACTGCTGCAACCTCCCTAGCGTGAGGGGAATGATGATAATGCCACCGGCAGGCGGTGCCGTTAGCTGCACTACCCTCTCGAGATCGATCAACTTCCCTTTCTACAGTTCGCTTAGGGCAGCTGGATCGAAGATGGCCCCTTTCCCCACAGCCATAGCACCTAGGGCTGTATCCTTTGTTGCGGTCGCGAACTGTAGCTGCTCTTCCAGCCGACGGACCTGTTCCTCCTGTCGGCGGGCCTGTTCCTCCTGTCGGCGGGCCTGTTCTTCCTGCTGCTCTTTCAATAGAAGGGCCTGTTCCTCTCGTCCGCGCTGCAGCTGCGCTTCCAACCGACGGGCCTGCTCCTGCAGCATCACCATCAGAGCACCAAGTCAGGTGCTGTAGATGCAGGAGCTACTGACGGACCGGCCTCCGTTGCCGGCGGCTGGCCCTCCGACGTCTGCGGCGTTGCACCAACAAATCGTCTCTGGTCCGTCTCATGCTGGCGTTGACTGCGGATACGGACACCCTTCGTTTCCTCCTTAGGTTAAAATCGGCATGATTTTATCCCACTTCTGACACCAATTGTTACGAGCTTGAGGTTCGTGACAATAAAAATTGCCGATAGAATTACCTAAATTAACACTTTAACTTTCTTTACACCAATTAAAACTTAAAAAACACTAATAATTAATCACACTGATTCACTTTATTTCGCTCCGAAGCTGCGCTTGTCTCGCCAAATTCAATACTGCCCCGATCGCATATTGCAGCGCCTTTAAACATCCAGAATATTCCCGTAGATACGGACACCGACCGACCAGACGCAGAAAGTTCGAGTGTGGGCTTCTAGAAAGCTTAATTCTTCTGTTCGATGCTAGATGGCGCTGTTGGTCGAAAGTCAAGATTGACATTTTCTTAGGAAGCCCTCTTCGCTCTTTTCCCCGACACTAGATGGCGCTAGTGCCTGGTACCTGACAACAACTTAGGCGCGCAACAAAATGTACAAAATAATGAAGAAAAAAAACTATTTCTACAGATCTTATCACATTTGATTTTATTTTATCACATGTAATTTTTAATTTTAAAAATCCGTAAAAATACTTTTATTCAATGTGTAGTTACGTTTAAGTTTGTTCAATTTCGCGTAAATATAAAAAAATCATTATGTACAAAATAAAACAATTCATGGGCTTTATTGGAAAAATGTAATGAAAGTAAAAGATCTGTCACAGGTACACCTCCATCCACTGCTCTACTTTTATTTGTAATATTTTTAACAGTATGTATGCAGTACGTACATGTTAAATAACATACAACTTTCATTTTCTTGATTTCTTTTAGAACAATATCCGTAAAGTATGATAAAAACAAAGAATGTAACAATAATATTAATGAAAATTACAGTACACACAAAAAGGTGCTTTCCTCTTTAGTCGGTATGACAGCGTGCAACAGCTGCTTTGTCGCGGTCACGCCTATGTCGACAACACATACATCTCTTGACTTCTGGATAGGATTCAGAGCAACATGCAACATTTTTATCATTTGTGAGGGCCACATGCTGCTTTATAGTAAAACATATTATAGTACCCTCACACTAAATATGCTAAAATGCATAATTCCTTCATAGCCCCGACCATAGTTGTAGCTATAGCACATTGACGCTACACATTTATTATAAAGTTGAAATATTTGTGATTATAAAAAGAGATATTTTGGAAGCATCCATACATAGAAAAATTTCATTATAGACAACTATTTATTACTGTAAACAAAAATCATTTTAAACGTAAGCACCGTACTCGTGATTCGGTATGCCAAGCGTATGTTGTATTTCTATCATTGAGGTTAGAGAGAAGGAGAACGATCGTTGTAGAAAATAGTGTCCCAGAAATATGGACAAAATAAGCGAAGCGCTGCGATCGCTAAGTTGTCTACATAAAAGTCATTTTCAGTCTATTTTTTCGATCAAATGCTAAACCACTTGCACATCCACGCACAATACAATATTTCATTATTTTTTAACGTTTCTTTTTGTCAAAAATTAAGAAATTACGGAGCACGATTATTTTCTCACCAATGCCGATATAAGAAGCTATACTTTAGTACGTAGCGATCATTCTCCTTCTCTCTAACCTCCATGATTTCTATGGTACCACCTAAACATCCTTTAAACATAATTTCAAGTACGTCTTAATAAACGAAACACTTCCCTCGTCCTAACTTTTAACATAATTGTAGCTTTTATTGAGTGTATGATAAAACAATACTAAATTATATAAACTTATATTTTGTTACAAGTGCTTTTTTTTTGATTGATTGATTTTACATGATAGCTGTACCTATTATAGTAATACTGATAATGTTTGTTAATCCGACTCAGCTACTTACTACACATACATATTATTTTTAAATACAAGAGAAATAAACATTGTTACTTTGTTAGAGAACTTACCAAACAACGTGATTTCTTTCCCTCACTGCACTTCTTACAAAGGCTTAAAAATAACAATAATAAAAACAAAAGATGATGAAAATAGGTTTTGTTCTAAATACCATTTTAATAAGAACCTCTTACCTTAGATTAGGTGGGTATGTAAGAGCGAAGGGGGAACAGAGTAAGAGTGCTCTACTTTATGTTATATAAAAATTTATCATACCTTGATCGAAAGTTCGTATTTCGACCCTATTTTCAGGGTAGAAAGTGTCACATTGTCTCCCAATTCAATGACTTATTAATTTAGTACGCATGCGTCAAACTTTTAAATTATTAGTTGATAAACGTCAAAAGTGTGTCATGATACTTTGAGAATAAATTATATATATACTTGAATTTAAATCGAACTTTCGATCCTGGTCCGAGAAAAAATAGTATATGCAGTACGGAAGAAAGGTATGACATTGTAAACGGCTTTCTTATCAGTATATGACAATACCACGCGGGTTGCAATGTCATACTTTCTTCTCTAGTGACGTAATATACTATTAAGATTTAAAACAAGATCCCTATAATATAACTGAGGATATAACCGAGAAAGAAGCTTCCCAATTTCCAAATTGTTTAACAGAAAAAACAGAGGAGTCTGTAGTACTCTAATATTTCTGTAGCTACAGCCTGTGAGGCATCTTATAACCATCTCCAGGTGTAACATTGGATTTATAGCCTTTTAAGACGACCCACATATGTAGCAGTAGGCATTCAACATCAGATGAACTGTTATGTCGTTATCTTCACTCGATTAAAAAAAGCAAGTGTTTGAAAGCAAACGTCTCATAAGGCTATATATATGGAGGGAGGGGTTTTAGTGACCAAAAGTAAACAATGTGTTGTGTTAACGATGCTTACAACTGACTTGCGTAATTTCACAGGAACAATCAATTATCACAATATGTTGTTTACATTTACGACTGTGCAGTTCTATTTCTTCTTCGTTTTCTCCTTACTTGTGCTTGGCTTCTCTTTAGTAGATGGTTTATCATCTTTCGTTTTCTTTTTCTGCGGCGATCAAATAAGTCAATTAAATTCAATGTTACTTTGTGTCATGTAAAAGTACGAAAACTATATAATATCTACTAAGTATTTATATGTATTTGTAATATTTACTAGGCGGTAGGACCACTTTCCTGTCTACGAGTCTGTATTCTTATTCCTGCCGCCGAATAATAATTTCACGTAGGCGACAAACACAACAGCACGACCACATATCGTCATCACTCGAAGACGACACCTACGGTACTACAGGATTTTATGCCGATAAGTGAGTAGCTGAAGGGCACGCGGTATCGTTTCGGTACAGACCTTACAGATCTCGCACCGCTTCCGCACTTACAAGTCAGAAAGCGGCCCAACGCTTTCTGAGGGTGTTTTGCCTACTCCCGTGGTGCTGTACACACTCAACAAATATTACGCCAAATATGTAGTGTTATGTTCCGGTCTGAAGGGTAGAGTGAATATGACAACGCATTCTTAGCATACTTTATTTCATTTACCATCAAGTGGGCTGCGAGTTCGTTTTTCACTACAATGTTATTAAAAACTAGCAACTCGCCCCGACTTCTTCTGAGTAGGATCTATTAAAGTGGCGTCAATTAGATTTTTTTTAATGATCATCAATGACCATTTATTTGATCAAATGTTTCTACAAGTTATTCGATATTTTTTTAAGTTCTACAAGTTTTTCTGATAAAATACAGATTAGATCACTTCTAAAATGTTCATCAATGACCATTTATTTGATCAAATGTTTCTACAAGTTTTTCGATAGTTTTTTAAGTTCTACAAGTTTTTCTGATAAAATACAGATTAGATCACTTCTAAAATGATCATCAATGACCATTTATTTGATCAAATGTTTCTACAAGTTTTTCGATTTTTTTTTACGTTCTACAAGTTTTTCTGATAAAATACAGATTAGATCACTCCTAAAATGATCATCAATGACCATTTATCTACATGAAATTTTCCTACAAGTTTTTCGATATTTTTTTAAGTTCTACAAGTTTTTATGATAGAATACAGATTAGATCACTCCTAAAATGATCATCAATGACCATTTATTTGATCAAATTTTCCTACAAATTTTTGATAAAATAATATAGATTAGATCACTCCTGGCATTGCTCTCTTCTGCTCGTCAAGTTTTATTAGAATCGGTGCAACCATTCCACAGATTATCCCGGCCACATGGACAGATAGACAGACAAAAATTTAAAAATAATTATTCGTGTTTTAATGTCGTACCAAAAACGCTTTGACTTCAATAAAAGGCAGTTATTTCGATAAAATTAGACTTTTGATTAATGTTCAAGATCATCATTAAAAAAAAATCGTTTAAATTTTAATACATATTTATTTGTAAATAGTGTGCAATTTGACATTTTCTAAATAATTTGCATGCGAAATTTGGAAACGATTGTAACGTCAAAACACATCTCGTGTTGACAGTTATAAGTGTGAATTGACATGTTAGTGACATTTTAGTGCCTACACGGGCTCCGCCCACTCCCCCGTTCTATTATATTTGTCTTATAGTATTCTATGATAATAACTGAACGCTTATATATTTTTTTAAATAATTCAATTATACCTTAATGAGTGCGTCGGCCTCAGGGTCGCTGTCGTCGGGTTGTTCGTCGGTAGCGACGTCGTCGCCGTCGAGCGCGTCATCGAGCGCGTTGTCGAGCGCGTCGTCGTACCTCGCGCGCGCGCGCCGCACGTCGCCAGGCGCGTACGGCAGTGCGCTCGCTCGTTTGTTGTACGCACGCGTCATCGCTGCTTTCACCTGATAATATTATAATTTATAATACCTATCTTAAATTATGTTTTTGGTTGCTCGTTATTAATTCACGCAATATGCATAATAGACATAATATTATACTTTTAATGCAATAGTACTATTAAACTTTTAATAAAGATATAGTATCTCAAATTATGTGCTCGGATGTTTAGTAATAACAAATCAGATGTTTTATAAAAAGCGTTAGTTTGAATTACAAGAAGATTAAGGTACTTCTTTATTGTTTTTTCACTGCCTGATCTAAATCTGGGACGGTTGGTATTAAATAAGTTTAAGATTTTTCGTTAGTTTTTAAGAATATTTTTCACATAAAATGTTTCCTCACATAAAAGGCGTCTTTTTTAGATGATGTTTGCAAATTTAATAGCCAATTACTATTACTTTTTATTGATGGCTGATGTCTGATAATTTGGTTATTGTTGAATACAATTTTAACATTACAGGATAACCAAAAACAAAATTTACCTTAGACTCAATCAATATCATAGGATTCCTCTGACCAGGCCACAGTGATAATTCAATTAGGGAATCTAAATCCTCTCTAAGAAGATGGTATGACTCTAGGACGTCCAAAGATTGTAAGATGCCATCTGCTTTATCTTTCAGCATTGGAGTAACCACGGCGTCACGTAGATGAGTGCAATAGTCGAGGAATATCGACGATTTGGAGCCGGATGTACTGAAAATGAACATAAATTATGATTACTAAATGAGAAAAAATTCGTGAGCGGACTTCATAGTAATTTAAAAGAGGCTTTTGTCCAGCAGTGGGCTGCTGTAGGCTAATGGTAATGAAGCGTGATGATGATGATTTCTTTGGTCTTAATCACGGTGACTTCTTCCAAATACCTTAATAACCAGTAGTTAACTAAGCAGATTGAAATATATAAAGTACGTTTCTTTTAATTTGGAAATAATATAAAGAAACCTGAAACCACAGCTGCCCTTATTACAAAAAGTAGTTTATATTTAGTCTGCATTTTAAACTGGAACCTATTTCAAAAAAAATATCCCGCAGAAATATGCGAAATTTCACAAAGACTGTTATGACGCGTTAAAGGGACTTCTTTAGTTAAAGACTCTTCTAAACCACACTTTAAATCCGTGATTACCAATAAACCACGTTATGTAATAAGACACTAAAAATGGTTTACCCCTTTAAATTTAAATTTGAAGTAACAAGATCTATTGTATTGTATATTTGCTTTAACTAGAGATTTATTGTAGAATAATATAAATGAAATATTATTTTATTTCATTTATATTATTCTACTATAAATCTCTAGTTAACGTCTCTGAGATTGGCAGTCGGGACCGAAATTAGGTCTGAATGATTATAATTCATATTGTAAGTTTATTATATAAATATGAATGAATGATATATTATATATCATTGATATTATAAAACAATAAATAGGTCGGCCCCACTATACAGAGTGCAGACATCATGCATGTGGACTCAATCTTGTGGCATTTGTTTGGTGAAGACCTACATTAAGAGGTTGGCTTATAAGAGATTGTAATGACGGTTAGTTACGAGCGGCTTTGTGAATAAAAAAGTTTTTATCAAATAAGTAACTTTTATATGGGTTGGGGCCATGCTGCAGATGTATTATGCATTGTTTGCCTCATGGTCTAGTCGTAATCACGGCCAAACCCATTTATTGGATTTTTCTGCTATAATTCTCAGTAGCAGCCCGGAGCCAGGAGGTGGTTGGCGGCGTTCAACCCCGTAGCTCGGAAATTACGTAAAGCCGTTTGTACTGCGGCTGATCTTTCTCCGCTCGTGTCGAATTGCCGTCCCATCGAATCAAAAATCAGTTATGCCGTTTTTTGACAAGAAATTCTCGGTAACATCCCGAAGTCAGGAAGTTTTCAGTGTTTCGCCCTACATTAAGTTGTAGGAAAGCACGTAAAGTCGTTGATCCTACGCCTGATATCTTTCCGGTCATGAAATAGAAATAGAAATGGAAACTTTTTTATTCAATGTAGATTATAAAAATACTTATTGAAAGTCACTTTTTTAATTTACCACTGGTTCGCAAAAAAAACCTCTGTCCTGGGAAGAACCAGCAAGAAACCCAGCGGGACTTTTTTTTAATACTAGCTTACAATCATGTTTACAATCAACAACACAAGACAAATTGGAAATAGCTTGGTAGCGATCACCCTTCCCAGGGGTTATTATCATCTATAAATTCCTTAATATTATTTTAACCCTTTTTATACAAACTTAGTTTAATAACATTTTTGAACTTTGTCTATGACAAATTTTGTATATTTTCTGGGATTTTGTTGTAAAAGCGTATACATCGCCCCAAGAATGAATTACTGACTCGGTGGAGTCGAGTAACTGGTACTACTAGCTTGTGTCTGCTCCTAGTATTTACAGAATGAATATCACTTATTTTCGCAAAACTACTTTTATTTTTGTGTACGTACATTACATTTTCATAAATGTATTGAGAGGCCAGAGTTTTTATTAATTTCCTTAAATTTTTGTCTCAGTGAGTCTTTTGGTTTTAAATTATATATTGCTCTAATGGCCCTCTTCTGTAAAATAAATATAATTTAAGTGTCAGTCGCGTGTCCCCATAGCAAAATACCATACGACATAATGCTATGTAAATAACTAAAGTAAACTATTCTAGCTGTTTCAACACTGGTAAGAGTTCTAATCTTTTTTTACAGCATATGCTGCAGAACTAAGTCTGCTAGCTAGTTTTGATATATGGGGGAGCCATTGAAGCTTTGCGTCCAGTATGATTCCAAGAAAAATGGTGGTATCAACAAGACTCAGTTGTCCCCCATTTAAAATTACATTAGTATTGACATGTTTAACATTAGGAGTTACGAATTTCATACATTTAGTTTTAGTTCCATTCATATGCAAATTATTAACATTAATCCAATTGACTAACTTAGCTATAGCATTATTTACTTCGTCGTAATTTAATAACTGTCGTTTTAATTTGAAAATTAATGAAGTATCATCAGCAAATAATACTATATCATGGTTATCCCCTACTATGTAAGGTAAGTCATTAATATATACAAGAAACAGAAAGGGGCCGAGGGGGGCGGCTGAGGCACGCCCATTTCTACAATCGACCCGGAAGAACTCATACTATTAATAACAACTTTTTGTGTTCTGTCACTTAAATATGAAATAATTAATTTAAGAGCATCATTTCTTACACCGTAGTGTTGAAGTTTCCTGATTAATGTTTCATGGTGAACACAATCGAAGGCTTTGGATAGGTCACAGAACACACCCAAAGCATCCTGTGAATTCTCCCATGCATTAAATATATATTTAATCAGCTCAACACCAGCATCAGTTGTCGAGCGACCCCTTGTGAAACCAATTTGATTTTTATGAAGTAATTTATTTACATTAAAAAAAAATTAACAATTGATCAAGAATAATTTTTTCAAAAATTTTACAAAGTGTTGGCAGTACAGAAATAGGTCTAAAATTAGCGGGGTCCATTGTACTACCAGATTTAAATAAAGGTATTACTTTACTATGCTTCAATATATCAGGAAGCACACCAGATTTGATACTACTATTAAAAATAATAGATAGTTGAGGTGCGATTGTATCTATTATAGACGCAATAACTTTAACAGAAATCCCCCACAGATCGGCGGTTCTCTTAATATCAATAGTCTTAAAATATTTTACAATATCTTTTGATGACAATTTATGAAATGTAAAATTCTTTGTACACACATTTACATTTTGCTTAAGTAATGATTCGGCGACGGTAGGAGAAGAATTCAGTGACTTAGTGGTTAAGATCGGAATATCAGTAAAATATTTCTCAAAAACCATTGCAACTTCCTGATCTGATTTAGTTAATTTATTGTTAAAACTTAACTGGTAGTTTGAATTGCGAGAGTTGACCTTACCAGTTTCATTATTAATTATACTCCATGTCATTTTAATTTTATTAGCAGCAGTCTTAATTTTGTTGCTTAAATACAATGACTTGGCTAAGGAGCACACTCTTTTAAATATTTTGGAATATTTTTTTACATATTCCCTAAATTCGACGCTAGGATTATATGACTTTCATTGTAAAGTTCATATAAGTAACCTTTGTCTAGTCTTATGGACTCCTACTGTCGCCCATTCATTAAATGCTTTACTTTGCTTTAATTATTCAAGGAGAATGTTTTAGAAGTAAAAGTATTATTAAATTCATTGCAAATGAGCTTAAATAATGTTGCATACAAAAAATTTGGATTATTTTGGTATGAAAGTAACTAGTTTACTATGTTACTTCTAAACTTCTCCAAGCGATGTGCATTTACTGGAACAAACACTACTTTTTTATCTACTTGCTTTTTGTGAATGCCGGATTGTAGTCCCATCGGACTATGAAAGTGAGAGAAACGGAAGTATACCTGCACTTGCGCATGCTCTTGTGCACTATCTTGTCCTTTGAAGACGGCCAGTTTCCGTTGAAACTGACAACCGCGCCGTTACCGACATTCGGTTTAGAGGACATTATTATTACTAGTATGGATTATGTTTTACTTGTCGGCGCCGTTACGACAGCGCCGACGGTGTTCGCGGGGAGTACGAGAAGCGCGGGGGGTTTTCTCACCACAGCGCCTAAGACCGTCACTCGCCGATAGCTCGCGACCCGATTACCACCAAATTAGTTTATATCTCGATTATTTAAATAAACAATTTTGCCTATCGTGTGAGTCGCCTATTTTATTCATGTTCCCTACAATTGAACAATCACATGGTTAGTGCATGAAAACAGAGCATTTGCATTTTGAGACTTCGTTAGTGTCTATGGGCAGCAGGTTTAACTTAAAATCAGGTGGACCGTGTGCTCGTTTTGTTGTAGATATCTCCTTAAATTTAGTCGTGTTTATGATATATATATATATATATATATATATATATATATATATATATATATATATATATATATATATATATATATATATATATATATATATATATATATATATATACTTATAGGGGTTTATACCTGAGCCTTGTATGGGCGTGTATTTCCTGTCCGAGGCGCTGCATCTTGCTGGCTCGCGAGTTCTTGCCGAGCCAGCCCGGGAACTGAATCTGTCCTGCCACGTGGCCCGCCATCGCGTGTCCCGGAATTACAGAGCTGTACATAGCCTGTGAACGACGGATTTGTGATCATTCTTGCACATATTTTATGACATTGCTAAAGTTTTTGATATCATTCTGAATAAAATAAAATGTTGGACAATTGGGTAGAGTACACACCATTTACAAATAAATTAAACGATAAAATAATTTTAAATAGTTACATAATTAATTCTAGTAGTATCTATAGAGGAGGCTGATATTCAGCAGTCGACTTTTACACCAGTCTGAAATAAATTAATGAACTATAATGTATGCAATCCAATAGACTACTTTTCTTAACGTCGAAGCTTAGTTATACCACAGATTAAATAATAGTACAAGAACTGAAGGATCATTCTCTGATAGCGAACTTGGGAGTTTTTATAAGAGAAAAATACTTTTTTTGTTAACAGTGACAACCAGTGCAGCGTAGGTATATTTTCACGCCTAAAGTGTGGAGTGAGACTGCCCTGGTTATATTTATACGAGTAGGTAGTTATTTATGTGAAATTTATTTAATATTATTATATCATTGTAAAACAAAATCCAACAAACCTGAACAGGCAATAAATGCCACGACTGACTACCTCTTATCCTAGCTTCGACCAGATCACCTAAGCTGATGCTGTCGGCAGCCATGCTTACTCTTTCTAGTACTTTGTCCCTACAAATAGAAAAAAGTAGGAATAATCAATGTGAATCTTAAACTACTGTTTTTCATGTGTGCAATTTAAATAAAGATTGTTGGTTTAAATACTTAGTTTTAAAGCACTGTTATAATGCTTAGCAGTATTTAAGTAACGACTTAGAACTTGAAGACTCCATGGCTCAGTGGATAAGAAGTTAGTTACGGCGCTGACGGTCACAGTTTCAAATCCCGAACGAAACAAGCATGTGTATGGCCTGCAAATGTTTGTTCCTGGACTGAATGTTTGTCCTTGTGCAATTTACGTATGGAAACTGCCTTACGATACAGAAAAAATTCTAGTGTGGGAGATAACATTTTACAGAACTTTCAATATTAATTATTATGCAAAATATTTAGCTGGTAAAAAATTAAAATCATCCACTTACATGAATAAATTTGTCAAACAATATAGATAATTACTTGGGGCAGTGAGGCACGACCTGCAGATAATTTTCCTGCACGAACAGTGGAGCGAGACTGTAATCGTAGAAGAACAGATCGCTCTTGTCGTTTATAGACATATTCTTGTGTTCTTCGGCACTGAACACCTTGCGGACTGCTTCCCATGGACCCTATCAAAAAATTTAATGTTATAAATTGGGATTTTATATACTTACAGAATTCTGTAGTGATTATTTTATTTTAATTAGAATTAAAAAATGCTAGTTACGCTATTCACATTACTAGTATCCCAGTTAAATAACTCAAAGTAACAGTGAAGTGGCGGTGGACTCGTTTACCGTCATTATCGTTTCATGGGTGTCGTAAGAGACTACAAAGAAAGAGACGCGAACCAGGAGAGGGGCAGCAGCCAGCAACGTCTTTCTAATAGTAACTAAAAATAAAAGAAATTGCGATTGCCAACCCGCCTGTTAAACGTAGCAACTACGACAAGTATCCCCCATTAGGCAATCAATGGGGAGCTCTATGTTCGTGTAACAGTACCCCCATAGTAAGCATACAATTTGTGCTCTAAAAGTGGGCAACAGTAGTCGAATATCAGATTCAAACCCACGGAAGTTTGTGGTCCTGTAGCTTTAACCATGATAAGACTACTCTTAATAAAGAATGCCGTAGTAGCTCAGATGGTTAGCGCTCGCTATAAATTTCACAGTACGCGAGCAAACCGGGTTCAACCCCCGTCGTCACCAATGAACTTGTTAATTGCAATTTTCACAAAAGAACACCGATTCCTACCAAGGATGATACACGAGGCAATTGAAATGAAAAAATATTGTAATTTCAACAGAGAATATGTATAGGTACTGCCATCTGCTTGGGATCCTATAATTCATCAACATCATCATCATTACTATAGCCCTTCACAAGTCCACTCACACACAAGTCCAGTCACACCCGAGTTCGATCCCCGCCGGCACCAATAAAAGTGTTAATTGCAATTATATGTGCTTATTTACCACGTGATCGTGTAAAAAAAAGAAAAAAGTGAAGGAAAACATCGTGAGAAAACCTGCATGTCTAAGAAATAAGAAAAAAAAATATTTCGAAGACATATGAAGTTCGCCAACACGCATTGGATCAGCAAGGCGGACACCTTCTTTGCCCTAAAACCCTCACAGAAATGAGAGGACTGTGCCCAGGAGTGAGACGTATGTCGGTTGTAACTTTAACAATAAAGAATACATTGATCAGAAAGTTGTTAGAGTTTTATATACTAGCATTATTAAAATCTGTATGTATGACTATGAGATTTTTTTTAATAACGGTGATGAATAAGGTGTACTTATTCATCACCGTTATTCTAATAACAAAAAATCTCATAAGGTAAAAATACAATACATAATATAATGAATGAATGACTATACTTTTATTGTACACCACAAACAAATATACAGATAACAAAACAAAAAGCAGATTATATGTAAGTACAATTTGGCGGCCTTATCGCTACATAGCGATCTCTTCCAGGCAACCAATATAATAAAAAAAATTAAAAAAAAAACAAAAATAAACATATTCTACACTATATTGTATGTTATAACATACAATATAGTGTAGAATATAACACATATATATTATTATAAATTTTATAACATAATGAAATGAGATAGATATACTTTAAAGTTTTCTTTAATAAATTAAAAAAATGGTTTATGTTAAAAACTTACCAGTTTTATATCCTTCTTGATATTTTTGGCCTCTTTCCTAAGACGTTCAGCGTCAGCTAGTTTGGGGTCGGCAGCCCAAATAGCCATGAGGTGAAGCGTCTGACGCACATCTTGGCCAGCGGCCGTGATCAACTGCGTCAGTACGTCCGGGGGGATCTTGATGCCTTCTTTGAAACATATTGACATCATCGCCGACTGCAGACAACCACATTTATATTGTAGGCAAATACAGTTACATTATATTGTACAAACTGTCAGTAGGCCAACAGAATACATTTATATTTTGTAGACATTAAATCATTACATAGTACATTGTGTCGTATTCTATACATTATTTTTATAAATGTAGCGTAAATATTTTACTTCCCGTTCCTTTAGATCAAGGATTAAAAGTAGTAATAAAAATTTGTTAGTCATATTTTTTTTTTTACTTGTTATTAACCAGTGCTTAATTACAATCCCACCTGGTGGTAAGTGGTGACGAAGATCAATCCGTTTTTAAATATCTTTGTTAATAAAAAATATTGGGGGCAATGTCTTATTCCTCTTACCATAACGGTGAATTCCATTGGTTTTTAGTAAGGCTAAATATGGTCTGGTTAGGAGCGAATAAAAACAAAAAGGCAAATAAGCAAACAACATGTTAACCAACCAATGCATTAATGCCAACATTTGTCTAAAGTAACTGGTGTCTGAAAGTTTATTATCTTTAAGAGTTAAACTTAAACTAAAATAAAATAAATATTCCTGAGTAGGTTATTTTACACTATACGGGCTTAAGATCAAAGCCATGTTATATAAATATTCCAGAGTAGAACATGTTACAAGATAGTCAATAAGGATTTTATGAATCTAATAAGGGAAACAAGGAAGCAGTTTCATTATATACCTTTATCTGATCTACCCTCGGCCTACTGAAGCGTAAGTCATAGCAGTAGTTGACCAGAGAGCGCATTTTCTGGCTGTTCCTGTCGTTGCACATGCAGATGATTGGCACCGAGGTAGATTTTATCAGACCAATTAATTCTTGCAGACCACCTGAAATGAACAGAGTTACGATTAGAAGCTATGCACGGAGCTATGCTATGCTATATCTATCTGCGCAGGACAGGATTATATGTATGTACAAAAACACAGGAGCACTCTTTTCCCTCACTCTCATAACCTGATGGGACGGTGATTCGACACGAACAGTGAGAGATCAGTCGCAGGACCAATGGCTTTACTTGCTTTCCGAGGCACGAGGGTGAAACACCGCCAACTTCATGACACCGTGCTGCTATTGAGAATTTCTTGACGGAAAACCGAATAATTGATTTTGGCCTAAATCGGGATTCGAGCCCGTGACCTCATAATCATCAATTGCGGTTACGACCACTAGACCAACGAGGCAGTCAAATTTAACGGTCCAATCTGAAAACAAATGGGTTAAGCTACTTTATAATGGTAGCCATAAGATTTTTCTGCCATGGATTCTTTTTCACTGCGACAACACTGCAGTGAATTTTCAGGTTTTACTAACCTATAAGGAATGTGTCTCTTCTTCACATGAAATGCGTGTTGCATCACTAGTTTGTAAGACATGAATTAAATGATGAATGCCTCACTGGTGGTAGTAGTGGCAGAACGAAGTCAGAAAGTTGGCGGTACTCTATCCACGTGCTCCGGAAAGTCTCTTGTGCCTGATCTCTCGCCGGTCGTGTTGGACAGCCGTCCCATTGGACTATGTGTGTGAGCGAATAGCGAGTGAGCATTATCATGTTCGATGGCTAGTATCTACCAGCAAGTCAAACTTTCGGAATAATAAAATAAAAACCGACAAGTAACGGGTTTAGAACTTGCGAAGGCTATAATATAATTCGTATATGAAAACTAGCCAAGTCAGACCTTAGGCTACAACATATTATCCTAAGTTATAAGAAGAAATGATATTTTATGTTGTTATAAATAAATTTCAGGACTGGTCATTGAACTTGGCACCAATTTATATCTCACTTCTTTTGTCATTGAAGTCAACAACCAAGGCATATATCATAATATTGAACTTGGCCCTCATTTCACATTTATGTTTTTGATGGGATATCATTACTTTTTGTTCATAAATTATTAGTAGGTACTTATTTATAACAAAATTAATACCAAATGGTTTTTGTTTAACTACTGTATTTTCTACGTTTACGGGGTATAATTGTCTTTTTTGTGTTATTTTCCATATTTTCTTGTACCATTGAAATGTTCGAATCAAATGCCCATACAGTAACCGGCTTTTTTTCACGCATTTTCTGTTTATACTTAATTTGGCCAAGTCGGGGCGGTATAACGTGCGCAGACGGTTGTACTCTACAATAGAGCTCTCTTGTCACTTAATTTGACGTGGATCTAAATTGATAAAATGTACTCCATCTAAGGTTTTAAATCTAAGAGTCCAACGTAAGCCTGCCCTCTACTAAATATAGAGGAGCCTATGTCGAGAAGAGCACTGTCAGGGCTAAGGCCTTTGATTTGTGGATAGTAGTAGCATATATTAAGCAAATAGGGAATTGTTCCCTGTGAACATATACTTTAACATTACTTAATATCTGAAACTTGGCAATCGAATGGAATAGGCAGCTTCCATCGGGAGGCATTGGAATAATTCAGTGTAAGATAAGTGTGTCACCCACCAGTAATTCTATTGTACGAATCATTGTACAATATACGTAATAAAAAGAATGATAATTATTTAAAACGATTACGTAACAAATTATCTGTTATCTATTGAATTCTCAAGAAAAATAATTTGTTACCATACCAATGAGTTCTCATTCTCAAACTCATTCAGAGTTAAATATACATACTTACTTATAACTATTATAACTATAATAAAATTATTATTAATTTTTGATTTAAACTATTGCCTATATCATCTAGACACGCGGTACGTACAAACTAAAAGAATTGTAATAAAAATATAACCATAAATATATAAGTATTTTTTAAGAAAACCTCTAAATTTCGTAGCATAAATCGGAACCTCATAGGTCATATATCGAGAGACAACCGGACAGCAAGATAGCGCTCGCGCGTATGAGCGCGGATGCCACTCGCTCGGACACGTTCGCGTCAACGTTTTGTCGCAGCTCTCCACCGCTCCCACGCCGCTGCTCCAGCTTTAATTATTTATAAGTAATGATCTTACACTATTGATGTGCGCTAAATATTGAAACAATAATTAATAATAAATCTCAGTTAATAACTAAATACGGAAGTCAACTATACTCTTAGTTTAGTTTATAGGTATTGAAACGGAAATATTTGGATTTAAAAAAAATAAGGGTGTTATTCAACTCGTTATGTATTTAAGACCGACTGTCATAAGTTTTGATTGCTGATTGCCGATTCTTACATACATACATTCTTACAGTTTTAAGTATAATATAATAATTAATAAAGTTTAGTGTTCCCAATAAAATCAATTAAGTGAAAAATTATAATAAAACGATAAAAATTTACCAGTTTCTGATTTATTCCTTTATACTTTCTAGGTCATCTGGAACTGGGTTAGAGTTTTGATCTATAGGTCAGTCGGTGATAAAAATGACGATTTTTGGGCGTTAATATCTAAATAACCGTTTGAGATGTGTTTACGAAATTTGAAGCGCATATGTGTCTCGCAAGTTTGACATGTTTATGTGAAATAGTTTTTGAGTTATGAGGGGGTCAAAAATGACTCCAAATGGTTCGTGTAATATTACACACGGTGCGGCTCGCCGTTCTTCTTGACCTTGACTTGATACACTACCGCGTGTCTAGATAACTGATTTTAAAGATTCTTTCTTTATTAAATGGGTTATACTTCTAGTGTGGTCCCATATAAATGTGGAGTATAAATTTCACCCCTAGGGATGGGAAAATAAAGATGAAAGTTTTTAATGCAACTTAGTTGTTACCTTAAGCTTGTGATATCCCCTAGTCCACTTAAAAGCCAAATTCAAAAATCTAAAAAGAAATAAATAGTTTTCCACATACCAGCTTCAGAAGTTGGAGATTTATTATTCTATATACGTTATCTTAGCACCAATTCCTGTTTTAGTTCTTTGAAGTGGGTTTCAACAGTTTTTTAAAGTAAAATGTTTATAGGTTTGTGATTATGTAATACCTCTGTCCTCGTTGCCGGCCATCCCGTCAACTTCATCCATTACTAAGACGTGTTTCTTTGTCACCGCTTGTTTGCCTGTATCACCTAAAATAAGTTTATTTTAAGTATAAACTGATAATATTGATACATGTTTCATGTATATAAGGGATATAATAATATAGCACAGTACCTCTGGCGTAGGCAGACAATGAAGTGGTTGTAAGTAATTCTCCGATTTGCTCCTTTATCAATGCTTTGTTTCTGGTATCGGAAGCATTAAATTCCACGACGTCGAAACCCAATTCTTTGCATACTAGCGCTACAGTTGTCGTCTTACCTTGAAATTATTTATATAAAGTCACAATCACATAACAAGTGGAAGTTTTTATACGTCCGAAAGTAGGTAAAAACTGAATTGATTGTATTACATCATTTAACCCAACATATTACTCAGCACTCAACAATGAACTGATTAAAAAAAAAATTTGAAAATCTAACTTTTCAAATTAGAATTTTACACAACATATATGACTGTCACAATTCCTATGTACTTACCAACCCCAGGAGGACCAGATAATAAAGCCGCTTTGTAATAGCCTCCGTCGTCATTTTTCGCCCAGGGATTTGGCTTCGGAAGCTTAGCTTTCCTGTTTGCATACCACTTCGTCAGCCAATCTGACAACCTGGAATTCAAATAAAAAATTTAAAGTTCAAAATAACTATAATTTACATTAATTTACAAATAAATTATTTTGAATACTTTATACTCTTTTTAATACCATAAATGTGAAACTTTGTGCAATGTGGTTGTCATTCAATCATAACCAAATGACCGATGGGTGATGGGATTTTAATGAAATTTAACAATGTAGTAACGTCAACACATTTATCATAGAATAGAATCATTTTTATTCAATATACTACATGTAACACTTATTGCAAAACAAAGATAGTTTCGATGTCAGTCGCATTACACCCATAGCAAAATTTCATATGACATTATGCCTTGGAAATAAATAAACTAGTCCAGCTGTTTCAACACAAGTAAGGCCTCTAATTTTTTTACAACAAATGCCGCAAAACTAAGTTTGCTAGCTAGTTTAGATATATGCGGGCCCCATTGAAGCTTCGTTCAACTGTAATTCCGAGAAAAACAGTGGATTTAACAAAGTCCAGTAGACTTGTGAAGGTCTGTAATGATGATAATCATCATCATCATCATTAAAGACCTTCACAAGTGCACTGCTGAACATAGCCTTCCCTCCAAGGAATGCCACAAAGCACGTTCCTGAACCACCTTTGTTTATCGACTTCCTGCATGTATTACCAGGTCGTCACTCCATCTAGTGGGGGGTCGCCCTACACTTCGCCTACCGGTACGAGGCTGACAGTCGAGAGCCTTTTTTCCCCATCGGTTGTCGGTTCTTCGAGCTATGTGGCCGCCCTATAGATGTGAAGGCGGTTGCCAACGATTTCAACCGAGCCGATAACAACGGTTGTTTTCGTTTTCAACGGTTGACAACCGCTTTTGATGGCTTGAAATTGATAAAAACATTTTTTATGCAATAAGTTTTTTCGCTTTGGTAATGAATAAACCGCAGAAAGCCGTATAATGTACTAGCTTGTCATACAGACGTTGTTCTGCTCTTTTCGACTACTCTTTGTCACATATCCTATTAAAAATCATGGGCAAAAACTATCCTATCTCTCAAGCTGGACGAAACTGCACATGGTGTGCAAATTTGACTAAAATCGGTTTAGTAGTTTAGGAGTTCATCGCGGACAATGTGACACGTAATTTATATATAAGATAATAGTCCATTTTTTTTTGAGATACAAGTAGCACATTTTCCAGAACCGCAATTAAAACTTTGTCATTTATACAAACACTATGAAAAACAAAGTAATTTTTTGCTGGCGATAATGATAGTGGTATTTTGACTCGATGTAGGATCTATGCTTGTTACTACGGAACTCTTCATAGGCTTGTGAGTCCGACTCGCACTAGGCCTCTTTTTTTCAACATTTACTTTTATTTCATTAATTATTCTTTCGTTTAAGCGAAGCTCTTTTATTTTAGATTTATTACCTATATCTATAACAATCAACCTGAGTAGGTGGTGTGTAAATACGATTCCTAAATTGGAAAATAATAATAGAAGTTATCATCTTAGGAATATATATTAATCTCACAAAAATTATTTTAATAATATAATTTATCACAAAACTAACGCCCTCATTAGCAATGTAATGGTGAAAGAATTTTCAAAATCGGTTGGCAATTTTTTTCGACTTAACGAGGTTCGAGTTATAGAGAGTCCACTGTATATATATATACAATATATACACTGTATATATTAATGTTCTCCGAAAAGAATTTTGGTGAAGATGGCTAGTTTTAAGGAGACAGCCAACTGCACAGGACAGGGTTACATTGCACGTCTATGTACTCTCATAGTCCAATGAGAAGACAATCCGACACGATCGAAAAAAAATCAGGCGCAGGACCAAAGGCTTTACCTTCTTTCCGAGGCACGGGGAAGAACTGAGACTGGCTGCTACTGAGAATTTATTGACAGAAAACCCGTTCGTTTTGACCAAACCCAGGACCAGGACTATATGGTCAGCAGCCGCACTTAAAACCACTAGACCAATAGGGTAGTCATTTTGTGAACGAGGTAGTGATTTAATACTTTCTACAGTAGTCAGACCATATCATATACAGTGGACCATGTGTGGTAAAATGTAACAAAATGGAAATGAAAACTGCGAGAATACAAAATTTGTTTGTGCACATCATAAGTTCTGTTATTAAAAATGTCAACGTATGTTACTTACTTACTTACTTATCTTCACGCACAATCCCTAACGGGGTAGCCAGAGAAAACAGATCGCCAAGTGTCACGATCCTTACATACCTCTTTCGCTTCTTTAAGGTTCATTAACTTCTTCATACATGCACGTCTAGGTATCCGAGTACTCTTGACCCTCCCCTCTTCGAGCAATTTGCTCACATGGTCTTCGAAAGTTAGTCTCGGTCTACCTCGACACTTTTTAATATTTACTTTCGCTCTATATATTTTCTTCACCATTCGGTCTTCACTCATTCGTTCAACGTGCCCAAACCATTGGAGTACGCCCCTATCAATTTTTGTCAATGTATGTCTGTACACAAAGTAACCTTACCTATATATATGTTGTTTGGCACAAGATGTGACTGAAGAACAAAAGGGGCCCGACATAGCAGTTCCGTGAAGCTCTTAGGGTCAAGATTTATGGAGCAAATTACTGTCATACATGTCTACAATAATTAGAAAGCGTTGATTCTAGCATAATATTAATATAAGAATTTAAAAAAAACTTAAACAGCTCGCATTGATCATGAGCTGTGATGATCCTGATAATCATTTTATCTTATCCTGGTGATCCTGGTCAGGATACTATAAATTATTGTATTGTCATCGGTCCTTGATACATGCAAATTTGCAAGTAAATCAGCCGTCTAATAGTTGATGAAAATTACATTAAAAGATTCCGTTACATAGATAGATGCACGCGAAGCTGATGAAAGCGTGTCAAAAATTATATTAATTGCATTCTTCATGCTTGCACATATTATCGGGTATTGTAAGAAGCGAATTTAAGAAATGAATACATTACATGATCGAATGGCATACGATAAATGGCAATATAACATCTCTTCTATACTAGATGAAAGTATCCAACCAGACTGAACTGAACCTGAAATGCTCTGGGGTGCAGCATCAAAGGTGTAGGATTTCTTTCACCGATCCGTTTATGATAATTGTAACATCCATTCGAAGAAAAATATCTCCAGCAGTAGACTGTTATAGGTTCATAAGAAATGAAGACGAACACTCGCAGCACCGGACGTATTGCATGAGCATTACTGCCCTTTCACAGAGGAGTAGGCTCTTTCCTGTTAATATCTGGTAAACGCGTACAGTACCCACTTAGAAATTAAATCAGAATTACTACTAACTTTTTCACATTACTGGCTGCTCCATGTTGGCCAATAATCTGTTTAACATTTTGCGGTTTATATTTGTCCACCCATAGCATCGAACTCGGTGTCTGTGCTTTAGGTACACCTATTTGGAAAAAAATATTCATAATTATTAATAAAAATTATCCATTATCAACATCATTAATACATAGGCCTCCCCACGGAATGCCACTAAGCAATGTCCTGAGGCACCTGCATCCATCAATACCTATATCTGTCACCAGGTCGTCACTCTATCTAGTGAGATGCCACCCTATATTTGTCTTACTGGTATGACATTGCTACTCGAGAACCTTTCTTCACCATCAGTTGTTAGTTTTACGACCTTTATGGCCAACTACTGCAACTCATTGATTTGTAATATTAAAAATATTCATATGATAAATAAGAATACAGTAGATTTCACTTATAACGACGATGAAGGTACCAGTGTACCTAATATCGTCACTATATCCGGAAGTCGCTATATCTACAGGGAGAAGTGGGGAAGACAGAAAACTTGACATTAAGAAAGCATGAAAATAATATTTATGTTCAAATAATACTTTTTTACTACTACTTTTTTCGAAGCATTGCATAATTTCAGAGCGGTTTTTCCACATTGTTGATACTATAGAATACTGTAATACACAATAGAATGGCTGTCAATCTTATTTTGTACGAGGATCGGTGTCGCAGGGAGTACTACTACAAACCCGATTCGCTGTGCTGTCCGAGGGAATTCACAGATTTTATATTTTTGATTAATGTTTTTGACACATCTATATTTCTTTATTTTGGTTTCTAATATTCACAAAATATAAATAGTTACGACTTACTGGTTGTAGGATATAATCTCCTTTATTTAAATTCCATTTCCCGCTGTTCTTTCGACACGTAATTATTGCATAATTTGCCATTTTTAAAATAATTTGCATGCAGCGACGCTTGACACGAAAATTGTAAACAATTGATTGTGTTAACATTAGTGTGACATTGTGATTTTCAGTGACATTATAGGTATTGACATTAGTGATATGATAGTGGCTACACGGGCTCCGCCCACTCCCCCGTTCTATTATGTATGTATTATAGTATTCAATGGTTAACACTGTGGAATGCGAAATATTTAATTCTTTGCACAAGTTAATATTGCTTTCACCATTCTCAAGACTCGAAATAATATCTACTACTACTTTATCTTTAAGCGTAAACATTCTTCTAACGTGTGCCATGATTAACAAACGATGTAACATCCCAAAGCTAAATAATTCTAAGTGTATTATCACAGCTGCGGACCATCTGGTATTACGAACAAGAGATAAGAAAGCTTAATGACTATATAAATAAACCTTTGTGTATTTGTTTGTTGACTACAAAAGGTCCTTGCAATGTGTACCGATAGATACCCCGCCGCTTACTAACTTAGAAGCGTCGGTCTGTAGGAAAGCACTTACGGGCCATTCGCCCATAATAATTGCATCAGCATATCTATCTCCTTTAAAAAGTATATTAGATATCGACATATCGGCTCTATTAAACCTAGGCCCTTGCGTATTAATCGTGGGGGACCTAAAAAGCAAACACGTTAGTTGGAATTCTAACGTTAACAATCCTAACGGAATTATCTTAAGAGACCTCACGGAGAGACTTAACTTCGACGTTATCGCTCCCGAGAGTCCAACGCGCTATCCTTTTGCAGACTACCATTACCCGGACGTCCTTGATATAGTATTACTAAAAAACATCCGACTTACCATTAATTCGATAGAGGTTATTATTGAATTAGTCTTAGACCACAGGCCGGTAGTTTTACAACTGGGCCGGCCGGCAGGTGAGGTCCCTCTGACCAAAACCATTGTCGACTGGCGTAAACTTGAGGTCAAACTTAAGTCTACGAACTCCCAGCATTTGGACACTATAACGGACAAGATAGACTCGTTAGAGGAGGCCGATAGGGCGGTTAGCGCCCTTTCGACTCACCTCACATCAGCGGTCGAAGAATGCTCCCATAAGGTTCGTATGTTGAGCGATCAATACATGAAGCTTCCGGCGGATGTTCGACGACTGATTAGAGCGAAGAATTCCGCGCTTAAAACTTATGACCGCTACCGCACTGAAGCCAATAAACTTCGGGTACATTCTCTACAAAACGAGATTAAACATCGAGTAGTTGAATTTAGAAATGATAGCTGGGATAACCTCTTTGAAGGTATCGAACCATCTCAAGAAGCATTCTAGAAATTAACGAGAGCTCTTAAAGCCGATAAATCCTCACCAATGCCGCCTCTCGTGTGGTTGGACCACCCTGATCTCGCCTTAGACGATCTCGAAAAAACCGAATGCCTAGCCGACAATCTAGAGTACCAGTGCACGCCATCCACCGCACCACCAGATCCCGCTCACCTACTAGAGGTAGGAACGGAAGTAGAACGTAGGTCTGCGCTGCCACCAGCGGGCGAACCACTTGATCCTGTGACAGTAGATGAAGTCACAGAAACCATTAAAAGCCTTAAGAATAGATCAGCCCCTGGGCCAGACGGCATCAGCAACAAGGTGATCAAATCCCTTACGGCGCCACTTATTTACATCCTTGTAGGAATATTCAATACTCTTCTCACGAACTGCTCCTTCCCGGACATCTGGAAAGAAGCAGACGTAATAGGGATCCCAAAACCGGGAAAACCGCGTAATCGTCTCTCTAGCTACAGACCCATCAGTCTGCTCAACACTTTGGGTAAACTATACGAGCGCATTATTCACAAGCGTCTCCGTCTTTACACAGAATCTAACAGACTCCTCCCCGACGACCAGTTTGGCTTTAGAGCCGATCACTCTGGCACCCACCAGATTCATCGCCTAACAGAATAAATTCAGTCTGGCTTCAACCACAACCCGACAAGGAAAAAGTCTCGAAACACGGGAGCCCTCTTCTTCGATGTCGCAAAGGCGTTTGACAAGGTCTGGCACGATGGCTTGATTTACAAGCTGTACAAACTAAACGTGCCCGATAAGCTCGTGCACATCATACGAGCCTTCCTCTCGAACCGCACTTGTTGCTATCGTGTAGAGGGAACCCGTTCTTCGAAACGCTTCCTCAAGGCCGGGGTCCCACAAGGCTCCGTCCTATCTCCACTCCTCTTCACACTCTTCACGAGTGATATTCCTACAGACCCAGTGGTGAACACCGCACTCTTCGCCGACGATACGGCACTCTATGTTTCAGACTATAACAAAAATAGTCTCTCCTTAAAGCTCTAAAAAGTCACCAATCGCCTAGGCGAATTGTTCCGCCTATGGAGAATTGATGTGAATCTCGAAAAGAGTGTAGCAGTATACTTTCAACGGAATTCAACATCACGCTCTAAACCAAAAACCATTTCACTATATGACCGCCCTATCCCTTGGGGAGAATCGGCCAAATACCTAGGCGTCACGTTCGACACCCGCATGAGTTTCGCGAAGCACATAAGTGCAGTACGCAACAGAGCCAAGTCAGTCATTGGCCGTCTACACCCTCTCGTTAACAGCAAGAGTAAGCTGTCGCTAAGACACAAACTCCGACTGCACAAAACCTGCGTTAGACCTATTATGTCCTACGCAAGTGTAGCTTTCGCCCACATCTATAAGATGCACATTTTAAAACTCCAGAGTCCAAAACTTTTTCAGCCGAAAAGTCACCGGTGCACGGTGGTATCAACGGAACTCTGATTTGCACAACGATTGTGAATTACCCTCTATCTCCGAATACTTCAAGGAGATGTCTCAACGCTACTTTGATAGAGTAGAAACCCACCCTAACCCGCTAGTGACAAACGCAGCCAACTATGTTCCGATAAAAAACGTAGCGCCCTATCTCCGCAGACCGCGATATGTTTTAACAGAACAACCACAACCGCTCGATCCAGTCGACCCCAATGCCGCAGACACATCACACATGTCCACCACAAAGGCAAACACTGACCCAAAAAAGCGCGTCGCACCCGTAGACGGGCACGATGCGTTCCAGCACACACCACGTCCACACCGTACACCCGCGTTCCTGGGCGGTTCTCACCACCTAGACCATCGACTGACACGAGCTGAGCAGTCAGAGACGGGGGTCCGCACTCCTCTCCTCGAACAGCGGTTAGATAGCTCAATAACGCGTAAAAAGGCGACATGATGATTGGTAACAATACCAAATCATAAACCATTGCATCATCATCCTTACGTCATTGCCTTTCCCTTTTTTAATTATTTATTTTTTAATTGGCCTGCAAGGCCGCTAGTCCTGAGTAAGAGTCGTATAGACTAACAGCGTTAACATCCAGAAACAAGACTTTGTTTGTTGACTCGTTTATTGAGTATAGACTCGGTCCTAATACCTGCAAGAGACTTCAGGGAATTTCTTATGAATGACTGATTAAAACTGGTCGCTATACCCGAAATTGTTGTAATATCCAAAGTCGCTATAACCAAACCATTCTCTATCGAAAGTATATGTTAAATTCAAGGGACTTCAAAGTAACGTCGTTATGACCGAAAAGTCGTTAAAACCGGAGTTGTTATTAATGAAATCCACTGTAATTATAAAATTACTATATTTTGTACTTTGAAACGCATTTTAAGGATGTCGGTAACTAAGACCTTTAAACACGTGTTGAAACTCAAAATACTAAATATAAAAATAACTAAACTGAATTTATTAAACCGAAAATACTAAACTGAAATTACCGCCCCGGTGATATGTAGGCATACAATTGACTTTAACAACAAAACATTGTACCTTTGTTGTTCGTATGGTCTGGTTGTCATATGTCAGCTGTATGTCGGAATACGTTTTTTGTTATAGGATAAAGGTGACAAAAAAGCACACTTGATGGTAAGTGGTTGCTGTGGCCCATAGACATCTACATCCTTCCTCGATTACTAACCAAAATTCAGATGCGTTGTTACCCCTGAGGACTAACATAGAATGCCTTGTTTCCAGTAAAAAGGGTCTCTGGTTCCCTACACTCACCATGCGAAACACAGTAGCGTTAAGCTGCTATTTTACGCTGGTATTCTGTGAGAGCGTGGTCCTTCTCCAGATGAGCAAACCCATTCATGCTACAACTATACTACTAATATAGCTGCAGCGTGACATAGTAGATATGTACAATGCCCACAGGATGAAATGGAGAGATGGATTATTTATCTAACGTGGATTAACACTGCTACCTATATACACACTATACATATATATAAATAAATTTGAATTGTCTATCTATAATAACTGGCTTCCATTAACTAAGGTTGCCATTTAAGACATAAATAACCATTTTTAAATTATTTTTCTGTCAATGCATCTGTCCAGGCTAATCTTGGGAATGGGTGAACCGATTGTGACAAAACTTTACAATCGGATACAGAACAATGCTAGTTAGCTAAGTATCTAGAGTCTAGACTATATTTTATTAGAAAAACTTAAAGATTTTTGTATTGAAAATATAGTCATAATTAGAATGGTAAGAAATGACTTACCACTACAGATTTCTGGCTTCACCAGTTTATCTGCTACTTCATCTTCCACTGCTTTATCATTAACAGTAACTTCTTTTTTTATTTCTTGTTGAACTTCTGATTTATTATTCTCGGTGCTAGCTTTTTTGTCTAAATTTGATTTCGATTCAAGTTTAGAATCAATCGTATTTTCTGTTTTGATAACACTTTTTGATAAATCTATTTGTTTCGAGTAACCATCTTTTTTACATTCAGCTTGATTATTAACTTTTGATGATTTAGCTTTTGGTGACTTCTTTCTATCTGTTGGCGATTTTGTATAATTTTTCTTTGAATGTTTCTTAGGTGGTTCTGACACCTCATTTACTTTCGATTTCTGCGTATTGTTAGATAAATCTATAATCATTTGTAGGAACTCATCTTCATTGATAATCTTTATTCCTAATTCTTGTGCTTTAGCCATCTTTGCTGGCCCCGCATCCTCTCCTGTGAGGAGATGTGTAACCTATAACCATAATTTTAATAATCCTAATCAAAAGATTTTTTATTAAACTTATAAAATCTAATGGTGGTGGTGACAGGTGTAATACCAAAAGGTCACCTGACTAACAAATTGACAAAACTAAATTGAATTGTGGTGTAATACTAAAAGAGCACATGAGGGTTGCCGATCATGAGGTCCCGGGATTAAATCCCGGGTCAGGCCAAATTCAGTTATTTGGTTTTTCTATTACGAAATTCTCAGTATCAGTTTCAACCCCGTGCCTCGGAAAGCACGTAAAGCTGTTGATCTTGCACCTGGTCTCTCTTTCTGATCGTCAAAGATTACCGTCCTATAGAACTGTTAGAGTGACGGAATAGAGAGTGCACCTGTGCTTGTGCATACACTCGGGCACTATAATCCTGTCATGCGCAGATGACTAGTCTCTATTCAGACTGGTCGCCATGGAAGAAATTACGTCTGGAGGATATTACCAAAACGCTAAAACTTTTCTAGATTGTTGTCACAATACACAAGAATAAAATTTAAAACATTGATACAAATAAAATAAAAAAATATACTAGTTATTGAAAAAGAAGCCAACCTTTTTAGTAACAGAACTCTTCACACAACCACCGAAATTCGTAATAGCATTAGATATTTCTTCTTTTTCAAAGGAGTCTAATACTCCAGTTAAGACAAATGCACAATCTTTTAAACAATCAGGTGAACCCTGAAAATATAAAATATATAACTGTAATTGTTCTCTTTAGTAAAGATTATTTAGGTTGGGGAAGATCACGAAAAAAAAAAGGCGTACCTACAGCACGAAACCGAAGAAAGAAACAAAAGAAAAAAAAACGAAAAAACAAACCAATATTCACGGTCCATCTTGCTGTACGTCCCGTAAGGTCTTGCACGACGCACGATGCAAAACGACAATCAGTAGCCTTGACGTACGTCAATAATAATTATTAATTGCTTGCTGTCAAGCCTACTCATTGCCGTTTTGTATTGTGCGTCGTGTATAACCTTGGCGGGATATATAGCAAGGTGGACCGTGAATAAGGCGCTTTAGGTTGAGGTTTACAGAAATTTACTGTCTACAAAAATTACAAAATTTTACTTATAGGACAACTTAAAACTATTTAGGACAATAAGGTTGGAGCATGCATATTTACAAATGACATGATATTACATTACGATTCCTAAATTCCAAGATTTTAAGTTTTTTAAGATTCTAAATTAAATAAAAAAAATAATAACTCAAATTATATTTTATATTACATATTGCTTAACCTTATTTTTATAATCACTGTCAGAATCCACATTTTTACGGCCTTAGGTAATATATAATTTAGCTCTTTCATACATCAGATTTTTTTTTGTAGCTGATGAACTCTCTTTGACAGCTTAGATATTCTCCCTTTCGTGGCTTTTCAGACATTCTATGCAATTCTGTCACACATATTGCTTGGTTTAATTTCTTTCAATCTCATTAAAGATATAAACAAGTAAAACTACTCTATAAGTCCGCTTATACACTTCTGTGTTGCATTCCATCTTAGTCCTCAGGGATGACATCACATCTGGAGCATTCTTGACTTAAAGTTGGTGGCAGGTGATCATAGGCTCCAGAAGCCAGTTACCATCAGGTGGACTGTAAGGCTCAATTTATATTGCCGTGGAACGGAATGGAAGCAAATTTTTTGTAACGAAATTGTACATAGTATAATGAATTTTACGGTAATTGTTTAATGTGCAAACTAGATATGAGTCAAAAAAGAAATTTTCCAGGGAATTCTCGCGTATTCTCGAGGATTTCTGTAGCTATTGTAGACGCCGTCTGTGGAATTCACGGTAAGTGGCGCGAAAAGTGACTCGCAGATATTCTTCGTTCCCCCCCCGAACGGGTTCCCGCCTTGTCGTGGCGGGGGGGGGGCTTAGTAGCCGTGGCTTGGTCTCCCACGGTGAACAAAGAGGAACCCACGTGGCTGGCCCGAGGTGAAGGGCCGGCCTGAGGTGGCCACTCCGAGTGGGCTTGGGGAGCCCACTTCGGATGTGTGCTGGTGGACTGCAGCGAGTGGGGACTCCACACCCTCTACCGCTGCAGCCGAGGTGGAGTCGCGGAGGAAGAGGAGTGTTGGTATGGCGATGCGCCACTCGCCCTATCCTCCGCGACTCAAACGGGGCCGCACCGTTGATGCGGTGGTGATGGGGCTGCGGGGCGAGAGGATTGTCGGTATTGCGAGGCGCCGCTCTCCCTATCCTCCGCAGCCGAATCTTGGTTGGCGGCGGAGCCATAGACCAGATCCGCCGCTGGGGTCGGGAAGGCTAGTACTTCTAAGTGCTCGTTTTTCTTGACCCCATGGCCTTCGCGCAACTGACGCGGGGGCGTCTGTTGCGCAGATGTAATTGGAGGCCGTGGAGGAAGGCGTGCCATGTGTTCTGGTGCGCCTTACTTGGGAAGGAGAACGGGGAGGAATATTCCTCTCCCGAGGAGGTGCTGCCATGGGGCGGCAGTCGCTGGTAGGGCCGCGGAAGTGTGCGAAAGCGTTCCCGTAGCCCTGCCAATATGCGACGAAGGTGGAACACCATGGAGTTTTAGTCGGTGCGAGTCTGACATAACCCGTCCTTGCCCCCGCGAGGCGGGTATGCGTAGGCATTTCCCCATGTTAAAAAAAAAGATATTCTTCGTTTTCTCATAATTTTCTTCTTCTTCTTCTGCCTCACAAATAAGCAATATTAAAATATGCAAGACAACCATTCTTTTCAAGTAAAAGATCTAGAATAAATAACTGAACAACTTCAAGGCGCAGTCGCGAGAATTCTCGAGCATTCTCGCGAATTCGCACGCAACGAGGCGATATTGACGCTTCAGTTCCATTCCGTTTCGCCACATTGTAAATTGAGCCTAAGTTTGTGTGTCACTTGATTTTTATAAAACTAAGAATTACTAACTGATTATTTATGAAACTCAATAATGCAAGATTAAAATTCACCTGAGGTAGCTTTTTAGCTCCCAAATGCTTAGGACCTGATCTGTTCAGATAATTCTTATACAATGCAGCAGACATTGATCTTCTCTCATATTTTTCCTCATCTGTTAGAACTAAAAAAAAATATCAAACCCTCTATGTAATCAATTTTGAAGCTTTATTATGATAATTTTAACTTATTACAACATTACACATCATGCCGATACCCACTTTTTGATTTATGAGACAAAAACCTTGATACATTTAAACTGCGTGCTTGCGCGCGCGCGCGTAGCAAGAAACGCAAGAAAAAAAGAGTGAGTGTGTGTGTGTGTGTGTGTGTGTGTGTGTGTGTTGTGTGTTGTGTGTGTGTGTGTGTGTTACAATTTTGAACTTCGTCAATGTTACAAGTGTGAATCTTCATGAATGTCTCTCAAATATTACAAGTGTGAAAACCAGGCACAACCAAGAAATAATTTTAACATAGTTAAAGTTATTTCCTGGTTGGTTTTTAATAGTAAAACAAATATAATGAGATTTAAGTGCATTAATCGTTAGAAAATTGGATTGAAGCCTGTTTGCAATTTTAGTAAGGCCAGATTCTGTATTGCTACGAATGTCATCCCATGATGTATAACTATTAAATGACTTGACTGATTTGTTCGAAAGGGATTCACTAAACTTAGACTTTCTATACAATTTTAACCCATTCGCACCAGTAGATTATGAGAAATATCAAACACAAAATCTTAAAAAAAATGTTTTTTTGAAATAATTTTTTAACAGATGTAACAATCAATTCCAAAAACACCGTAGATTGCCGTAAACCGCATCAAAATCGGTTGATGCGTTGAAGAGAAACCGTTAACGAACCATTTAGAAAAAGTATGTTTTTTCCAAATAATTTCAAAAAATTCTCTTAAATCTTTTTTGATGTAGTAAATTAACAATGAGTATTAAATAACTTTTTGATCTGTTCGTGAGATACACAATTTTGAAAAAAAAAAATTGGGTTTTTCAAAATATAGGTGGAATTTGGAGCGGCCAAGTCCTGTAGGGTTAACCATTTTTTTTTTTAAATATTATTTTTAAAATTTTATTTATTTACTCTAAATAAATACTTTGCATTATCCAAAAATATACACTAAATACCACTTTCTTCTTCATCAAAATGTGTCGAAAAAGGCACGTATGGCAATTCACAATGCTGTGTTGGTCCCTACTTTAACGTATGGTAGTGAAAGTTGGGTGTGGCAGAAGAAGCACGAGAGTAGAATAAACGCAGTAGAAATGCGGTCGTTAAGGAGTATGTTAGAGCTGAATCTGAATGACAGGGTAAGAAATTGTGTAATAAGAGAAGATTGTGGTTTGCAAGATGATGTTGTGACCAGGATTAAGAAAGGAATGCTTCGGTGGTTTGGTCATGTGGAAAGAATGGATGAGGAAAGAGTGACAAAGAAAATTTATGTTGCAGAAGTGAATGGCAGAGTCGGAAAGGGACGTCCTAGGCGAAAATTTATCGACCAAATTGGCGATTTATTAAAAACGGGCAAAATTAGGAGTACTCTTAACCGACGAGCATGTATGCATAGGTGTATGGATGTGAAGGAGGCGAGAGAGGTGTGTCAGGATCGTGCCAAATGGAAGTCTGTAGTCTCTGCCTACCCCTCTGGGTGACAGGCGTGAGTGTTTATGTGTTTTATGTGTCTTCTTCATCATCAGGCCATAATAGGGTGATAAACGAGAACACAGTCCACCTGATGTTAAGTGGATGATAAACATCTACATCTACCCTCAATTAAGAATCAAAATGTAGATGCATTGTCACCCCCAAGAGCTAAGATAGAATATGCCTTATTTCCAGTAAAAAGTGTCTTCGGTTGTCTAGTCACCATAAGAAACACAGCAGCATTAAGCTGCTTTTTTACACTGGTATTCTGTGAGAGTGTGGTCTTTCCCTGGTCGAGCCGACCTATTCATGGTACTACTTTATAGCTGTAGCATGACTGTACCATATATAATATCTCCTGCTGTAAGTCAAATTTCTCCTAATCATTATGCTTGACAGACAGATTGACAACTTTAACAGACTCATTGCACCTTTGATGCTTCTACTACAATGTTTTATCTGAATAGGAATTAAGCTATTCACAACAATAGTTGTTCATTATATTTGCAAATAAAAAGGTTACAAAATGTCTGTACTTATAACATACCCGATTCATTTAAGCTTTTGTCTAATTTTCGTTTTTTACTTTTTGGTGTATTTTCTTTAGGACCAGTGCTATTTTGGTTTTCAATAAATTCACTAAAATCTGTTTTTTTAGCATCTTCCTTAATATCATTGTTTTCTGTCTTAATGTCAAGACAAGAACCATTTATTGCATTTTTCTCCTTTGCATCTTTTGAATTTGTTACATTAGTTTTCTCATTTTTAGGTAATAAATGCTCTTCTTTGCTGCTTACAGAATGAGTATTTGACTTTGATGGTGAATTGTTTTTCTGGATTTCCTTTGTAACAACTTTGTCAGTTACAGATACATTAGCCATTTCCTTTTTGGTAGAACAATTTACACTGTTTTGCTCCTCAATTTCATCTAACTCTAAAAGACTCATTTCGAATTCATTATCGGAATGAATTCCAATTTCAGTGGCTTTAGTTTTTTTTACCAAAGGCTCTGACCTTTTTATCATTCCATTACCAAAAAGATCAGCTGTTTTGACTTCTTTAAGTGTGGTTTTTAATGATTTATCCTTTTTTATGTTCAAACCCTTTTCACAGCTTTTCTTTTGCACTTTTTCTTTTGGCGAAGATTCATCAGAATCATCAGATAATGCTCTCTTTCGGCGAGACCGTTTAGCCTGAAAAACAGATTAATATCACAGAAATATAAATTTCAAATTCATAAATATTTTAAAAAGTAAAAATAACACATATTAACAACTAGCTTTTTTTCTCCATGGCTTTGCCCACATGTAATTAGATTTCACTGTCCTACGAGTCATCTATGAACATACAGAAAAACTGTAAATTATGTATATTATATACGCTACTACTTTTTATATATTACCTATATATTATGTACTGCCTGTATAATAGTACCTATATAACTATAATTTCAAACAGGGTTAAGCAAAGAAATATAAAGTCTTAGTCTTTACATTTCTTTGAAATATTTTTATATCTCAGACATGTGTGTGTGGTCCTCACTATGTTTTCCTTCACGGCCCAGTATATTTATTTAACAACTCTACATGGTATATTAAGAGATTTAATATTAATATAATATTTACCCTACTAATTTTTACTCAAAAGTGCCCTGTATAGATTGCAGATTTAAAGATGCAGCCCCGGCTTAATGTGAACATGGCAAGAACTTTCAAATATTATTGGGAAATATTAACTGCATGGACATATCATAATAGTATAACACATGTACCATGTTGCAGCTATATCGATGGCTCCTAAGTATAATGAGTCAACTACAAAATTCAAATTTTACAGGAGCGCCAGTCAAAGATTAATTGTTTATAACTTTTCAGTTTTTGTACTAGGATGTTGATTTTTTTAAGTTTGTGTTATTTTAAGATTTGAGACACTTATATAATAAAGTAGTGGACCTGTTTTAGTGAGTTTCCAAGATAATGTAGTTGGCTTAGTGTACATCATATAAATCATGACCTATAATGAGCTAACTGTCACATACACTCGTTTACAATGTATTTGAATATTCATCATATCTTTAGGAAAAAGTATTAGGTTTATAAATACATAAATACAGTATTGTAATTTATTTTCTTGGACTAGTTAACTGACACTGTATATTAGGGTGGAGCGAAAAAATTTTTTTTTCGTAATTGTTTTGTAATACCTGTAAAAAGTTGCTCTTATAGCTTACAAATATTCTCACAAAATTTTGGTTGACATATGATATATTTGGAGGTGCCCCCAACATCATGAACTTTAGAGAAATTCACGAAATTTTGTCAAAACACACGAATGTCTAATTAACGCTAAGTCATATTGAGAGTGTCACCCTGTTGGTACAAGACATTCAATTTTGACCTTGAAATGTGTGCGGTGAGGAGCGGGGGTTGTGGGGCACGGGGGGAGGTGAATACACTACTCTCGTCAAACGTCGTTCGAATGCCTTTTTAGTGCACCCGCGCGCGCGATTTAATACTATTACACTTGTGAAAAGCATTGATTTTAACGACTTAAATCAAGAAGTAAGACTCATGTAAGTAGTATTTTCAATTTCCTGCTCATAGTTAATGCAATTTAGATCAAAATTGATTGAATTCATACCTATTATTTCTCTTTATTACAGTCAAATGTCGTAAGTAAAAACACGACAAAAGACATCCTGTCCTGTGTTTGGTTTACCAGAGAAGTTACCCGTAGCTCAATTACCAACTTATAATGATGTAATGAAAAATTATTTATTCATTAAATATGAATTAAAGCCTCACAAAAAAACAAAAGAGCCGACAATTCATGACATATCCGAAAGATTGGCTCAGGAAGTTTTAGAAATTTGGCGAAAAGCGTCGCTGCCAACAGTCAGTCTTAAGAGAGTATTACAACTTATTCGATCCTACCATGACAAATATAGAAGCTTAATGAAACCTTATCGAGGCCGTCAATTAAACAAAAAATATCAAGAGAAGATAAATACATTCATAACTGAGTCTCATAGATTATTTGATGTTTGCAGTTGCAAATGCAAACTTATTTCAGATTACACTTGTTCAAAAGACAGTCGTGTTCCCAAGGAAGAAATAAAATTTTTACTCGACCAAAGGACAACAAGAAAAATGATGATAGGTGGTGTAGATTTGGTTACAACTGTAAAAAATAAGAGAAAACTAGAAAGACAAGAAAAAAGTTTATTGCGTAACATAGAGATATTTGATCCCAACAAACCGTGTTGTTCTCGTTCGTTGCCTGATGATGATGACTTGACGATCGAAAGCACCAGTTCAAGCAATAGCGTAGCTTCTAGTCCTTATCAATCGCCAAAACACGTAGCGAGACTACCAAAAACACCACCACCACCAAAAAAAAGAAGTTAAATTTATCATCATTAGCCCTCGCTTGCGATCGTACTGGAGTCTCCGACAGAGCCGCTGCTATTATAGCTTCTTCTGTGTTAAAAGATGTTGGCATTATTTCAACGAAGGATCCAAGCGGTGTCATTGATCGTTCTAAGTTGCGTCGTGAAAGAACTAAAGTCAGATCATCTTTACAAGACGCAGATCGTAATAAAATCATACGCGGTATTTATTTTGATGGCAGAAAGGATAAGAGTTTAGTAAGTATTAAGAAGGAAGGCAAATTTTACAGAAAAAGAGTAACAGAAGACCATTATGTGATTTTATCGGAGCCAGGAAGTGATTATTTCGGGCATGTTACGTGTGAGTTGGGAACCGCTAAAGGTATTCAAAGTACAATTATACGTCACCTGAAAATGAAATCGGTGGATCTGAATAAAATAGCTGTTGTTGGTTGCGATGGAACTGTCGTGAACACAGGTTCCAAAGGTGGTGTTGTTCGTTTGATGGAAGAAGAACTTAAGAAACCATTACAGTGGTTTATCTGCCAATTGCATTCAAATGAGTTACCACTGCGACATCTGTTATTACATTTGGATGGAAAAACCACAGGGCCTAAATGCTTTTCAGGTCCTATCGGCTCTGAATTACAAAAATGTGAAACAATGCCAATTGTCGAATTTACCGTCATTCCTTCAACATTACCTGAAATTCCTAGAAATGATTTGAGCACCGACCAAAAATATCTTTATGATGTGATGAACGCTATCAGCACTGGCGTCTTTACTTCCGATTTGGCTAATATCGAACCTGGACCCCTTAGCCATTCTAGATGGCTTATAACAGCAAATCGAATTCTAAGATTATATGCTACTAAAACAGACCCCCTAGAAAACTTAATGATATTAGCCACATACGTGATGAAAGTTTATGGTCCGATGTGGTTCACTATAAAGTGTAATCCATCATGCATAAATGGAGCTAAGCACCTGTGGCAAACGATTAGCCTGACTCGCTATTTGAGCGCGGATTTGAAGATAGTCATTGATAAGGTACTCATACGAAATGGATATTTCGGGCACCCAGAAAATATTCTTATTGCTATGCTTGGAGATGACAGAGAAATCATTCGAGAACTAGCATGTCAACAAATTTTGAAAGCTAGAGCAGAGAATGATCAAGGACTTCGAACGTTCAAAGTGCCTCCTTTAAATTTCGATGCTGAAGATTATACCGACCTCATTAAGTGGCAAGACTGTAAAATAACTGAGCCACCTCTGACTTACAATTTATCTGATGAATTCTTGAAAGAGATTGTCAAATGCGGTTTGAGAACATGTCAGAGTATAAAAGATTTCCCATGCCACACCCAAGCCGTAGAGCGCTGCATAAAATTGGTGACTGAAGCTTCAAGTGCAGTTTGTGGAGAAAATAAACGAGACGGTTTCATAAGGGCACGATTATTATCACGTCAGCAAATGCCAAATTTTGATACAAAAAAACAATTTAATATTTAATTACTGTGTTTCTGAACGATATCCAAATCTATCATAATTACTTAGTTTTACCTTATTTTTTTAATATATGTATTTTTTATATTTAACCAGACTTTATTTAACCGATTCCTAAGCTGTTACTCTGTTGATGGTGTCTACTACACTAACACATAGGTATATATAGAGTAGCGTAAGGAACTTTGTTCCCGCCTGGTGTGCTACGACATTCATCGCTTTTTTCAAATTTGCAATTGTGTTGGGGCACCTCAAGACATCATGATAAGTAAATAATATTTTGTATGTAGGATTTACTCAATGAAAGGCAAATTTTTATCGCTATGCAATCAAAAAAAAAAACAAAAAAAAATTTCTTACATTATCACTCCACCCTACTGTATATACAATTTAAACGATCATAAATTAGTTGACTCATTATACACTAATTTTTATGTCCGAAATCGGTTAGATGAAGTAGCAGTAAATTGATATATCTACAAATTAAGCAAGATTTTAGCTTGTTAATTTTTTAAACAAAAAAAAAATAACATTGTTTTTATATTTTTAATTATTTATTGAAACATATTCAAATAACAATCAAGTAGTTAAACTATTTATATTTTCCATAAAACAAAGAAATTTCAATTTCTGTCTTAAATAAAGGTAGAAAACAAAATTATATTTGTATGAGTCTTCTAGTATTAAAATTACTTAACAAAATTAAACGCCTTTCTTCTCTTCCTAATCAGATATTTAATTAATTTTTGGAGATATTTGTTTTAATAAAATTCAATAAAATAAAATATCTTCAGGAAAAAACGATATCTAAGTAGATAAATCAGGGTTTTTTCAATCAGAGTCGGACTCATAGTTATTAGTATTGCCCGTAATTAGACTATTATAAAATAAATGATATTCTTTTGGTATGACTTGACTTTTACATAGATCCATAAGATCTTTGTGTTTATTTTTATCAATTGGCAGGGGCTTTTCATAGGCTTTGCCTAGAATTAGATCAACCTTTTCTTTTTGGTTGTTTCGTGTATTCTTCGGTTTATTCCTACAGTCAATCCATTTAACAGAATCATCTTCATAGTTATACTTAAATATAATTTTAAAGGGATCTCTTTCTTGTATTTTAATTTCACATACTTTGTTCCACGACATTTTAGTTCAATCGCTAGTAGATGTCCAATTAATGCAGTGTTTGAGATGTCTTTTAAAATCAAGAATTGACTCCTGTGACATTTCAGTAACATTATAGGGCTTGCCATCTGTTTTAGCCCATTGAAATGCGGCATACCACTGGTCTGGGGTATAAATAATCCTGTCTTTAGTTTGTCTCTCAATCAACGCATGCATGCTGTCCCCTTCGTTTTGGGTATGGCCAACGACAAGGAAACGATGAATAATATTTATATTAAATTTGTTACAAGCATACATATACATTAAAAATACGATTCTGTTTCGATTCTGGCCTCCACAATTGTCAGACCAAAAACGATACTCTTTTATACCTTTGGATACTGTCATTTCAATAAATTTATAAATACAGCTTGCAACTTCATTAGCTCCCCTTTTAGCTGTTTGTTGATGCCAAGAATAGCAATACCCTTGCAAAGATGCCATATCAAAAATGGTGAAATTATACATGGACAGTTTTCTTTTATAGTAGAATGTACTTACATTCCCATGAGGTACATTTAAACATTCTGCAAGTCAAAAGTACAAGCTAAAACTTCTTTACTTTGTATTGCTAATTCCTTGTCCTCTTTTTTTCAATTTTCTGGCTGTTTCCTTTTGTTTCAAATGATTTCTTTGATGTTGTATTTCTTCTTCGGTAGGCTGTGTTTTATTTTCAAATATGTGACATTCTTCGCATGCATCCTTTTTGGGCTTATGGAAGGCAATATTTATATTTTTGTTTATAATATCACGATATTGTCGTACAGAAGACGCTTTGCTAGAATAAGCGTTCGAATCAAACCACTCCTCATAAAGCTTATACATCTTGGGAAATGACAATGAGCCATCCAAATACTTACGTTTCGAATCTTTGCGAACGTAATGAGCTTCAACGGGCGCGAGAGCTTCAATATGATCAATGACACTACGTACCATATCGATGGTTATAGTTTTTGGATGATTTACATGTTTTCCTCGTTGATCGGATTCTACAAACCCTTTTCCACGGTCAAATTTTTCTAGAGCAGTATAAACAAAGTTAAAACTTATCGAGAGGGTTCTAAGGAACATTGTTTTACAAACAGATATTCGTTTTGTCTCTGCATTTTCATCTGATTCCAAACATGGTAAATAATATTTAATAGTGTATAGCCGCTTGGAATTTTCAGAAACAGTTGAGCGCGCTTTAGGTAGTTTTATAACATACTTAGTGATAAAGTCCCACTGTCGTGAATGATTGCCAATTCTCCAAAACATCTTAAAAATTCTTTTTCGGTTCTCTTCTGGTATCCTATCATAACATCTTTGACAGCAGCTTTTAGGGCAAGGTGACTTTAATTGTTTTTCAGGGTGTATTTTTCCATTCCTACTGGTGTACTCTAAACCTCTATTCACTTTGTATTTTCTTTGGCTATCCTTCCATTCTTGCTTATATAACTCCCTTAAGCAACCCTTGTCTTTTTTAATATTTGAACTTCGCTTGCGTCGATTACTTGGCTGATTAGGAGTACTAACAGCAGAATCAGTATCTTTTATATAAGACCAATCACTAGATTGATTATCAGGTACGGAAAAACTAATGTTTATGGGACTATTTGGACTAGAAAACGAGATTGCTGGGGAAGGTATGGGGGTCGTACTGGTCTTAGACTTAAGTCCGTTTACAGGTATCCTGATAGGTGAGGATTCTCTTGAATTTTCTATTATTGATGGCGAATAGACTGACTCAGGTGAAGTATTAAGAATACTATCAGGAAATATAGAGGCGTTGGATGGCAAATCTTCTAGAATATGTTCACTGTCTTCTAGGTCTACGTGGTATATAATTGACAGTTCATCTTTGGTAAAGTTAGCATCAGGTGGCAAAGGAGACAACTCTGAAAATAAAACAAACATGCTCTTTTTATCATGCAAAACAATAAAAAACAGTCTCTTGAATCTATGTAAAACAGTATCACTTTATAAAAAGTTTTGAGAGTCAACTACTAAAATGTAGCTTCGTGTATTTATAATTATATGTATATGAATGAAAAATTATAAGATTCATGAAACTTTTGCGGGCACCTCATCATATTATAAATGTAATCATCCTATGGGTGTTGTAAAAGGTTACGGAGGGAAACCGAAACTGGAGATGTACAGCAGTACTTGACAATGACTCAAAATAATAGAAAAATTATGGTTGCCAACTAGCTTGCCCAGTGTGGCACCTAATATATGAAGGATAACCATTAATGAGGCAAGCTATGGCAGCTTATACTAACCGACTGACGGAAGTTTAAAATAAATATACTGAGTCAAGTGTTATACTACTGTTAACTAACACGACGTATACTGGTCTATCTCAAGTTAACCCAGTATAGAATGTACAGAACATTTAATAATTTGTAATCGAAAAATATTGTGATTATTTACTGTCATAATTATAATTTATTTAAGCTAATGTAATGAAAAACTTAATTAACTTACCATTTTTATGAAAAGATTCCACTAACTCGTTATTTTCAAAAATTTCGTGTTCGTTATTTTTGTCTTCTGAGTATGTTAAATCTACTAAATTTAGCATTAGCCTTGCTCTAGCGTTTTGTTGTGTTCTATCCATGCTTATTTAAATTTAAACACAATAATTTTTACCTACAATCTAATAAAATTACCGTAATACACACACCTAAATTGATACAATCACGTGCCAAGCGAACGCTGTATACTGGTCCAGTGTGCACATGTCGCTTAAAGTACCCCGCCCGCGTCCCGCGTATACTGATTTCGAGTAGTTAGCTTAGAATACGCCGTATGGCAATTTTAAATTCCACAACATAAACCAGTATACGTTAGATTATATCCAAGAATAGTTACGCATTTTAGGTTTTTTCGATATAATATGATAGATAATATGTTTTTACAATCAATACCATCAAAACCTGAAAATACTTAAAAATGTTAGATGACTCACTATACTTAGGAGCCATCGATATTATGTTTGTAGAACAAATGAGTTGGCTTGACCAGGGATCTCTCCCCTGCTAACCCCTGCAGTCTCCAGCACTCAGAATATTAGCATAAATTAGCAGCCTAATGCCTCTGTGTTTCATATGGAGACTGTAGTGAGCCAGAGACGATTTTTACTTGAAACAAGACATTCCATCTTAGTCCTTAGTTTTTATTCTTAATGAAGGATAAATGTAGATAACAATGGGCTACAACATCCACTTACCATGAGGTGGAATGTATGCTGTTTTGTCCCCCTTATTCTACAAAAAAAGGTACTCAGACAGACAGGTGTTAGGACATTGAATAAAACTATTATTTACGGATTTTATCGCGTTTAATTACTTTAATTTATTTTTATTATTATCCCGACATTTCGGGTGCTTTACAGCACCCATGGTCACGGGGGGGACTGAGATGTTTGACATCCCAATGTCATCGTTAGTCCGGCTACCTTCAGTTTTTTTTAATATTAATTTTTGGTCCGATTTACGCAAAACAAGCTTATAGTATCATGAAGTCTTGCAGTGGTATGCTTGGGTTTGGGTTTAATTTTGTTAATTATAGGATCCCAAACAGATGGTAGCACCCAACCATCTTCTCTATTGAAATTTGGATGTTTTTTAATTTCACTAGCCTCGCGTATCATCCTTGGTAGGAATCGGTGTTCTTTTGCGAGAATTTGTGGTTTATCAAATCTAATGTAATGGTGGGGACGATCTTGAACATGTTCGCAGACTGCAGACTTCCCGGAGCGTCGGTGCTTCACATCAGCTATATGTTCCTTCACGCGGGTTTTTATAGATCTCTTTGTTTGACCTATGTAAGAGAGACCACATTCACAATCTAGCTTGTACCCACCTGCATCTTGTAGAGGAATATTACATTTGATGGATGGTAAAAATTGACTAATCTTCTTCAGCGGCTTGTAGTATGTCTTAATGAAGGTAGCCGGACTAACTGTGACATTGGGACGTCAAACATCTCAGTCCCCCCCGTGACCATGGGTGCTGTAAAGCACCCGAAACGTCGGGATAATAATAAAAATAAATTAAAGTAATTAAACGCGATAAAATCCGTAAATAATAGTTTTATTCAATGTGTAGTGTTCGCGAAAATTTAAGAAATCATTAGGTGTTAGGACAACAATATATCTAAATTTATAAGATTAAGTGTAAAATTAATTAAGCTACCTTATTTTTAATTTGTACTTGAGGTGATTCTGGTATAATGTCACTGTCTCCATCATCAGGTTTCTTGACCTTAAAAAATGATCTTATATCCTGAAAGCATTTACCTTCATGTTAAGTCAGTAAGTGATAAAAAATATGACTAGTATTTTTTAGTTTCAGTTGATGATGCTGATGACTATGATAATGTTTTTCTGGGAGACTAGTGACAACAATGAAATCTTTATTTTTTGACATAGTATTCGTATTCATGTAGTATTCATAATCAGAAAAGCAGTTTATAAACATCATCATTGTCATCATCTTTATAGCTCTTCACAAGCCCATTACTGAACATAGACCTCCCCAACCTGGGCCACCAATCTATCCACTATTTATTACTAGGTACTTATTACTAGGTAGTCACTCCACCTAGAAGAGGGCCACCCTGCACGTCCCTTAACAGGTTTGCTGCCGGCTAGTATAAAGAGATTTCTTGGAAAAATCCGACGTTGGCTATTTCTGTATTTATATTTTAAGATTTTGTTTAATTTTACTGAAAAAATTGTGTAGTGATGTACATCACTGGGCGTTTGTCTTTCCATTTCCCAATGTCAATGTCTTCTTGAAAACGTGATATATTTTCATCTTTCTTTAATGATTTTTGAGCCACTTCCATCGGGTTTTCTTTCAAGTTTTTTCGTAACGTGCTAGAATAATATATATTGTTATCCAAAAGACGTTTCGCTAAGGTGAAGCTATGGTAATAATTGTCCATATTCAATGAGTGACCGTTATGAAGATATTTCTGCATCAATTGTATTACCATATTCTCAGTGTGCCCTTTCCCTGCCACATCTTTATCTTGGCTGCCTACATATACTCGAAACTTGAGTATGAGACCATCTGGTTCAGTCAGCATATACAGTTTTATGCCGTATTTGTGGCATTTATTTTTGATATATTGCCTAAACCTTAGACACCCCCTTCAAAGCATCATGCTCTCGTCCAAAGACAATTCTTGTGCAGGATAATAGCATTTATCCATTTTGTCAATGAAATAATCAATGATGCTACATATTTTGTACAGAGGGTTGGGAATGCCGGGTCATTCTCTATATTGGAACTGAAGTGAAGACACCTCATTATAAGTAAAAATCTATTTCTACTCACATGTTGGCCAAAAATAGGTATCAGTGTTCACAGGGCTGCCAAAAAACTCATTCTGTTTATTAAATTCAATGTATTTTAGCTCACCAGACATGCACCAAGCACTGGTAGATATTTCTGCAGCTGATGTGGCCCCTTCAGATATTTGTAACAACTCAGATGAAGTCTGAGATTTCAATAACGGTACTAAATCCAATGCCACATTATCGGTAATAAGCCGCCAGTCTTCAGCCTCTTCTTCATCATCTGATGATATATCGCAGTCCTCAGGATCAAAATTATCATCCCTGCTATCACCCCAGTCAAGATAATCTTCAACGGTTGCTGTCCGTCAACCCATAATTCAACTGCCATCTCTTTCGTTTAAGTCTTGTTGGCTCCGATTCTTCATCCATATTTGAGCCTTAATAATCTTAACATAAGAGTCACAATTCCAAAACCACAAATTGTACCGAAAATCTACTACATTCAAGCGCAGTAACAGCCTAAAAACATGTCACCAATTGCATAGTTAGACGTGTACTGACTCTTATAATTTGCACGGTGCTTGGAGGAGGGGGAGGCACCCCGCGATTGCCCCGCACCCCGCAGTTCTGCGGGGTTGGCAGCAAACCTGTTAACATAAGCTGACACTAAAGAAACTTTCTTCGCCATAGGTTGTTGGTTTTCCGGTCTACATAGCTAGCACATAGCTGTTTCAGGTTGCTAATCTGTTGGAATATTTCAATTATTCTGGAATTTTTCACCATGATATTTTGTGGATATCCTTATTACGAATTCTATCAAGCAAAGAAATTCCGAGCATAACCTCCTCCATAGTTTGCTGAGTTCTACACTTAAATTGCTGTCATCACTGGCATCTAACACTGTTTGTACACTCTTGTTTTTAAGCTTTTAGGAACATGACAATCGTTATTTACTTATTATCTTTTACCATTAACTTGGTTATTTAATCCTCAGGGGTGACAACATATCTGCATTATGATTCATAGCTGAGAACAGTTGTAGATGTCTATAAGTATCCACTTACCATCAGGTGGACTGTGTGCTTGTTTGTCACCCTTATTCTATAGAAAAAGGTAATATTCACCTTACACTCTTATTATATCCCAAATTACAATATTTATTTTCATACAACACAGGTCAGGCAAAATAGCTTCAATACTAGTGGATCAATTAAGGTTTTGACTTAGTTTCTATAACAAGTTTCCACTTTGTATAATTCATATCAAAATTTTGCACTCTCCTGTTTCATCTGTTGCAATTGGTAAAGATAAGTTATGAGTGGTGAATGGTGATGATGCCGTAATATAGCATAATTAGATACTGTAAGAGCATAAGAAAAGAAATGGCACTAATGTGGATAAGCATTACTTCTAATTTCCCAATCACATTTGACAAAAATATTAGTGATATGTTGCATGGTTTGAGAGAATCTTTTTAATAATAAAACAAATTGTAACAGTTAAAATTACCCTGGACATGTCTTTTTATTGTAATAAACAGTACATTAAAGAACACATAGGTTATGTGCGTTATAAGTACTTTTTTCTTAATTTTAGTTGTTTCAATTACTTTTTAAATTTTTCAAGAAGAAATATGAAAGTTTACGTTATTACGTTCCTTTTTGATTTATATGTTACGACTTCAAATTTATTTTAATCTTTCATAGAATTTTAAAATTTTAAAAAACAAAACAGGACATAGCAGTGTTGTTATCGTAAAAATCTGAGCTAATATTTGTACAATGATCAATGACATGCCGTAGTTTAAGGCACAAACTAACTAGATACACGGTTTAAGGCAAAAATGACTAAGATGCCGTACTTCATTATTTGTTTTAAAATTATCTATTTCTCATTTGTTTCTCCTCCTTAAAGGTTTCTTTTTTATATTGATTGTTTGTCACATGTCGTAGCAAAGTTGAAAGTTAGCACGATAATTTAGCCTCGCATAGGAATTATCCAGTTCTTGAATAAATAAGTAGGGCCTTCAGAGCGACATTCACTCATATTATTTCACTCGCAAACTTATCTTATTTTGATCAGTTAAATTGTGACTGAGAGCTAGATCGTACTTGACTCGTATGTGTGTATAGACATCTACATCCTAGATTACGAATCAAAATGCAGATGCATTGTCACCCGTGAGGTCTAGGATGGAATGCCTTGTTTCCAGTAAAAGGGGTCTCTGGTTCTCTACACTCAACATACGAAACACAGCAGCATTAAGCTACTATTTTACGTTTGTATTCTGTGAGAGCGTGGTCCTTCCCCGGTCGAGCCGACCCATTCGTGCTACAACTACGCTACTAATATAACTGTAGCATCGCTCTGCCACGAAAAGCGTTGAAGTGACTGATTGAAAAAAAAAAGAAAGTCTAATGTCCAGTTACAGAAATTATAAGAAAACGGTGAAAGATTCTGAAAGGAAGTCTGGAGCAAACAGCGACAAAATTTACAAGCCCGTTTGAATTGCCGTTGACGTTATCGATGCTTTTCTAGTAGAAAGCGATAATTGTAAAAAAAACTACAAATACGTTTTTTTTATCTTTTATATACACGTAATTGTTGTGAGCCAAAGCGCATAACGTCGCGGCGATAGCAGTGCATATTTCGGCGTCCATTCTCGACGAGCGCGCGAACGATTGCGAATGTGGAGGGATATGTTTTTCGCGACGACTTCGCGGCAAAATTACGGCGTGAATTCACGCCGTGAATCACACAGGAGTCTGGAGCCCGTATAAGAACTAACTTACGTAGCTAAGTGTAACAATCGTTTAAGGTAAACACCACATGCATCGAGAAAGATTATAAATACGAATATAAAAAAAGTATAAATTACCTAATAATGAAAATAAAGTATGTGGTAAAATAAAACTATTATTATTTATTTGTTGGTTTCAGACCAGGCTAAAGCAAGAACTTTCTTAATTTTGGCAAATGAGTCGGCATGAATGTTAACTTTGTCACTATCTCCATTGACCAATTTGCACAACCTTGGAATTGGGGAGTTTGCACCTAAGACAGATTTCCTAAAAAGGAGGGCAAAGTGGAGTAATGGGGGCGCGAGGAATTCTCAATGGAACAGGAAATTAAAATTTTTGGAGCAAGAGGGGACAGTTAATTTTTTGCTTAAAACTTAACTGTCCCCTCCCCTCCCCTTGCCACGAAATTTATTTGCAGGCGTTCCAATCGTAAGGAGTGTGTCGCATAATGTGGCCGCCATACTACAGTGCAATACTCAAGTATGCTTCGTACGAGGCTGTTGTAGAGTAGGATCTTAATGTGATTATTTTTAAACACTTTAGCGTTACTCAAAACAAATCCTAGCATTCTATACGCCCTTTTTGTAGTATTCTCGATGTGGGGAACGAAGGTTAATTTTTTATCGAACACTATTCCCAGGTCTCTGACTTCCTCTGTTTTCTTAATGATGTCGCCATTAATTTTGTATGATGAGTTCAGTGACTTGATCTTTCTACTGAATTTCATATGGTAGCACTTGTTTATGTTCAGGTACATACCATTGTCTCGACACCAATTTACCATACGGTCAACATCACTTTGAAATTGTTCGATGTCCTCTAGAGTTTCGCAGATGTCAACCAATTTCAAATCATCAGCATACATAAATGGTATCGTTAACTGAAAGCAACTAGGGAGTCATTGATGAAGATGTTGAAAAGCAGAGGACCCAAATGTGATCCCTAAGGAAACCCCGACGTAATTTGGAACGGTACAGACTGAAAACCATTAACGACCACACCAAAACTACGATTATCCAGGTACGACTGTAATAATCCCAATAATGAGCCTGTGATACCATATGCACGCAATTTAGATATAAGAATATTATGAGGTACTTTGTCGAATGCCTTACTAAGGTCTGTATATATTAATTACATCAACATCCCTAACGTCATCTACCGCTTGTACCAAAGTTTCAGTAAACAAGGTCAGATTGGTACAGGTTGACCTAAATCTAACAAAACCGTGCTGCCACTCAGTAAGATAATGATTCAAGTGGTTCTGTAGCACATGATAGACAAGAGATTCAAATATTTTACTTTAAGTTGACAGTATTGAAATAGGCCTATAATTACCTACCACCTCGACGTTATTGGCCTTGTGAATGGGAACAACTTTCGCGGACTTCCAAACATCAGGAAATAGGCCGGATTGAAGAAACTTCTTAAAAATTAGATATATAGGCGTCACTAGCTCATTCGCAAATGCCTTAATGAATATAGGAGGGACACAATCTGGCCCCAGGCCCTTGTTATGATCTAGGGACCTCATGCTCTTCAGTATCCGATCCTTGTTAAGGTAGGGAGCAGTTAGTTCAAGGCTGTAATTGCAAATCAAATTCCATTGGCTGACATTCAACTCTGAGTTTATGTTATCTTGAGAATTATACACAGCTCCAAAGTAGGACGCAAATAAGTCGCACATTTCCCTAGGACTAGATGACTTCTTATTACCATCAGTCATTGTACAAGGATAATTACTTTTCCCGCACTTCTTTGCCTTAATAAATGACCAAAAAAGTTTAGGGTTCGACTTAATTACTATCTTCTGTCCTCTTTATATAATTTTTAAAAGATTGATTTGCTAGTGTGCAGTAATGCTTATTATTCCTATATTTTTTATACCGCTTTCTTATGTTCTCCTTTTCATGTAACATTCTCTTTAATGGAACATTAAACCAAGGAGGAGAAGAATTATTTCCTATTTTTTTGTAGGGCACATATTTATTTATTAGATTATTAATTATATCTCAAGCTCGTAACAATAGTTTTATTAACATTCAGATTATGAAACATTTCATTCCAGTCATATTCGGATAAACAAAGGCGGATCTGAGTATAATCGGCTTTCCTAAAATTGTGTATTTTAGTTTCGATGTTATACGGTAGTGCAATATCAGTATTTCTGTTCATTAATATTTCGAGAGGGGGATGTAGAGGATCTACGACACTAAGAATATTAACTGATCCTGCCACTGTACACATGGACGATGATAGGTTGGTCAGTACAAGGTCTAACAAGCGGTCCGATTTGTTAAGAATATTATTCACTAGCTGTTACCCGCGGCTTCGCCGGCATGGTCACTGGGAAATGTACTATCCATTGCTTTTTGAATTGAAAGAAAACTGAGTTTTATAGATTTGTCAGAGATGCAGCCATTAAAAGGAAACTGAGCAAAATTGTTTCGTCAGCCTGTTTAAATGTTTTGAAACGCAGCGTATAGCAAAGCATGAAAGTAGCCTGTTTATTCCAAATGAAAATGGGATATTTTTTTAATTAAAGGAAACTGCACATAATTATCCATTAGGTATGCAGACTTTTGAAAAGAAACTGAGCTAAATTGATTCGTCAGAAATGCAGTTTTCTGAATTAAAAGGAAACTGAGCCAAATAAAAGATCCGTCAGAGATGCAACCTTTTGAGTTGAAAGGAAACTGAGCTTAATAGGAAATTTTGAATTGAAAAGGAAGATCTGTGGGAATTCTGATTAATCGATTGTGGGAATTTTGGAAAAAAAACTAACTGAACACTATTTTAAGACGCTACTGTACACAATGTTATATGTTTTTCCATTCGGGGAAAGAATGTGGAGATTCTGGGCATTTGACACACGCGAACATGCTACATACAGCTGACCATGAGAGAAACTCGGTTTTTCTAAGTTGACCCCCCTACCTGTAACGTTTGCCCTTGCGCTTTATTAATTGTCATTGCAAAACTGAGCTTAATAGGGAACTTCAACCTTTTGAATTGAAAAAGAAGATCTGTGGGAATTATAGTGATCCGTGGTATAATAACATTTTCACCTTTTCCTACGCCTGTCGAAATTGTAGCACCGATTACGTTCCGTCCAAGATGTGTCACATGCAGCCTTGTCCCGTTGCATAACCGAGGAGCATGTAAATTTCGCATTAGCATGACTGGGACGCCTAATTTTAATTGAAGCTTATGTGAGGGCACACCTGACAACTCTAGACAATTTAGAAACTCTACGGGATATGAAGTGCTCTGTTCTGTGTCCATAACTGTGTCTACTGACAAATACTCGAAAAAGTGAACCTATTCTATGATAAATTTGCACTTGCATCGTAAATGTAGGCGAAAATCCCGGCAATATTATTTTCCGGTCAACTCCGAAGGACTTCATTTGAAAGCATGAGTTATATTTCCGGATCCTGTTTAAAAAGCGCCGTGACTGATAGCATCATATAAAAAGAGAGTTTTCAAAGGTTCTTCTAGTTCCCCAAGTAACGGATGAGACGCTTTGCCATTGGAACAGCACATTCCTGCGGTCTCATCTTTCCATTTTAAAGCGCTGCAAAATCGACACGCCTTGTCCATCAGTCCTATAACAACTAACCTGTGATTTGTATAATCAAGCAACGGATCATAATTGAATGCTGCGTCATTAAAAACCAACCAATTGTTTCTTTGATAATTTTGTCGAGGTTCAGC